AACAGATAGCTAGAAATTCTATTCAGATGTCAGATAGTGGCTTTTGATGAGCAACGCTAGTTAAGTAATGTTCAGTGGGTATCCCTGGGCCCTTGAGCCAGAAAGACTTCACTTTAATTTCCACTTAATAATTTTTGTTTGAATAGGGAGTTCCCAGATGAAGAAGGAAACCTTTGGCCCATTGGGTCAACTTCAAAGAAGCTCCTCTTCAACTTCTAAATGCCAGACTTTCAGGACAGCTGGTGTGGAGAGAGGCTGGAACATCAAAGCACCAACAGACCAGTAGCCAAGACAGGACTGGAGTGACACAGCAGTCCTCGTGGGTTGAACCACAGTGTCTATGAATGAGGCACAGTGTCTGCTAGTGAGGCACCTGGCACAGACTCCTTCCTGTGTCCTCAGGAGAGCACTGACACATTCAAGAAGTCTTTGGTTTTGGTTTTGGGTTTTGTTGTTGTTGTTTTGTCGATTGTGGGGCTTGAACTCTGGACCTAGGCGCTGTCCCTCAGCTCTTCAGCTCAAGGTGTGCGCTGGGTGAGTGAGCCACAGCGCCACTTCTGTTTTTCTGGCAGTTTATTGGAGATAAGAGTCTCACAGACTTTACTACCTAGACTGGCTTTGAACCAAGAGCCTCAGATCTCAGCCTCCTGAGCAGCTAGGATTACAGGCGTGAGCCACCAGCACCCAGCTCAAGAAGATTTGTTTCACTGATTAGGCAGCATGTTCTTTGTGCCTGGTTCTTGCCTCTAGAAAGGGGAGCCACTTCCCTCTGCTTAGGTGGCTTAGGCACAGAATGTGTAAACATGGTTTAGTCCCTGGTGGCTCTCTCTTGCACTGAGTAGAAATCTTGAGCTCATTGTCTCTCTGAGGACAGCAAGACAACAGCAGGGCAAGCATAAAGACATTGCATTGTAACTTTTAGCTGGGGAAAGGGAAGGAGAGAATGAAGGAGAACTAGTAACTATTGGGCACTTGCTTGCCCTGTAAGTGATATAAGAGTATGCCCATATAGGCTTTCATTTCCTCCTCAAGACATCCTTGAGCAGGTATGGGGACATGCTATCGATTCTTAGAGCTTATTCTTAGGGGTATTTGAATCCCAGGACCATGTGATTTGAAAGTCTATTCTTTAGAGAAGCTAGCACTTCACCCAGAGAATTTCACCTAGATCCTTCCACCTGATCACTTACAGTTTCCACCATTCACACACTTGTTTGCTGTCTCCATTCATTGATTCCACGAATTCTTTGACAAATACATTTGGTCCCTGATAGATTGCTACGAGACACACAAATCTAGCTATCTGAATAAGACAGGAGCCCTGCCCTCAAGGATTTATAGAGCTGTGGGATCTGACCTGGACTGGACAAAGGCCAGGAGTTAATTATACCTCCAAATTGAGGCTTTAGGGAGGTTTGTCTAGATGATGGTTTTGATATGAAAATAATTCAGGTTTTAGTGCAATGGGGGGAAATATAGTGTCCTATCCTGGAGGCATAAGGAGAACAAGAGAATGAGCAGCCATCAGGGAGAGCCATCACAGGGCAGCCAACCAGAGCCGAAGGGGAAGTGGTATTCTGCTACATGCCTTCTTCTCTGCCACAGCAGGAAATGGAGGCAGGGCTTGCTAACATACCCAAGGGAAGGAAGAAAATTTATTGAATACAGAAGTTTGGTCTGGAGCTGGGAAGGTGGCTTAGTGGTAGAGTGCCTGCCTTGCATGCATGAGGCCCTGGGTTCGATTCCTCAGCACCACATAAGCAGACAAAGCTGGAAGTGATGCTGTGGCTCAATGGTAGAGCGCTAGCCTTGAGCTGAAGAGCTGAGGGACAGCACCCAGGCCCAGAGTGCAGGCCCCATGACTGACAAAAAAATAAAAAGAAGTTTGGTCTGGATAGGGCTCAAGAGGAAGAGTTTCTGGGGGCCTGAGTGGGAATGAGAATGGAAACTATCCAAGTAGTCAAGAATGACCAGGCTGAGACTTGAAGGACTGAGACATTGCAGTCCCCAATGGAACTAAGGGTAAATATCACATATTATGTCCCAGTTTCTAAGGCTAGTGACAACACCATTTAAAAAATATTTTTATTATCTTTAGGCAGTTGTACAAAGGAGTTGCCATTCACCAAAGAAGTTTATGAATACAGTGCATCTTGATATCACCCTTTTCAACATCCTCATCCATCCCTTCCAAGGCAACACATTTTTAACCCAGAAAACAAGCTTTGGCCTCTGGTCAAGGTGTCAAACAGAAAAGGGAGAACATTTGTTAAGAGGTGTAGTTAGGAAAGTCAGTTTCAAACCTGGCTGTTTAAAGTATGTGGAAAACTTAGTCTGGGTAGAGAAAAAAGGTCTGGCTACTAGGTTTAATTCACAACTTGAGCTCCAGTTAATTTTTCATTTTCTTCTGAACTGTACATGTCTGTTCATTTAGTTAATACATTCTTCCTTTTCAACTTTCTGTCCTTTTTGTTGTTGTTGTTGGTCGTGGGTCTTGAACTCTGGGTCTGGGTGCTGTTCCTCAGCTGTTCAGCTCAAGGCTAGTGCTCTACCACTTGAGCCACAGCACCACTTCCGGTTTTCTGTTGGTTAATTGGAGATAAGAGTCTCACCGACTTTCTTGCCTGGGCTGGCTTTGAACCTTGATCCTCAGATCTCAACCTCCTGAGTAGATAGGATTACAGGTGTTAGCCACCAGCACCTGGCTCTTTCTGTTCCTTATGTTCCCTGTTAATACCTGGTTTAATGGAAAGGTCACAGGACTGTGGAAAGAATCTAGTCACTAGATTACAAAACCTAGTTGCCTAGCCAATTAAGGATGGGATTAGCCAGAACTTGAATTCTGGATTGATTGATTTTGGTAGTACAGTACTGGAGTTTTTCAGTATACTTGTTAGGAAAGATCCAGCCCTGAAAGCCTGATCTAGAATCCAATTTTTCCAGTTTTACTGAAGCATTATATAAAACCTGACTTACTGAGCTCACTTGAGCCTCCATTTCCTCATATTTTATAAATACATTTATTTATTGTTTGTTTTAGGGCTTTAACTCAGGCCCTGGGCTCTGTCCCTGAGCTCTTTTGCTCAAAGCTAGCTCTCTACCACTTTGAGCCACAGGGCCACTTCTGTTTTTTGAGTGGCTAATTGGAGATGAGAATCTCACTGGGACTTTTCTGACCAGGCTGGCTTTGAACTGCAATCCTTAGGTTTCAGCCTCTTAAAGTAGCTAGGATTACAAGTATGAGCCACCAGTGCCCAGCTCAAATACCTTTCTTAATGTCTTAAAGGGGGGCTGGGAATGTGGCTTAGTGGTAGAGTGCTTGCCTAACATGCATGAAACCTTGGATTTGATTCCACAGTACCACTTACACAGAAAAAGCCAGACATGGTGCTGTGGCTCAAGTGGTAGAGTACTAGCCTTGAATAAAAGAAGCTCAAAGACAGAGCCCAGGTCCTGAGTTCAAGCCCCAGGACTGGCAAATAATAATAATAATAATGTCTTAAAGGTGCATGCAAAAATTAAAGGACATGTGAAATAATCCTTACAGTTCCCAGCCATGATGTAAGCTTTTTCATTGATCATTACATAGAAAAATTATCTGGCTTGGTGGTCGTACATGGCAAGCACTCAAATGAATATCTCTTACACATGGATGGACTAAATTGTTCCCACCTCAGCAACTGATGTATAAAAATCCTAACCCCAGTACCCTAAAAGGTGACTGTGTTTGGAGACATGGCCTTTAAAGAGGCAATTAGATTAAAATGAAATAATCAGGGTGGAATCTAATGGGGGGTGTGCTTAGAAGTGAAATATGTGTGGACAGTAGAGGGAAGACCATGTGAAGACACAGGGAGAAGACAGCCACATCTACAAGTGAAGGGAGATCTCAGAAGAAACAAACCCTATCAAATGCCCTTGATCTTAGCCTGCTAGTTTCCAGAACTGAGTGAAGACAAATTTCTACAGTAGTCCCGCACTGGTGGCTCACGCCTGTAATCCTACTTAGGAAGCTAAGATCTGAGGATGACAGTTCGAAGCCAGTCTGGGCATGAAAATCCATGAGACATCTCCAGTTAATCACCAGAAAACCGGAAGTGGAGCTGTGGCTCAATGTGGTAGAGTGCTAGCCTTGAACAAAAAAAGCTCAGGGACAGTGCACCGGCCCTGAGTTCAAGCCCCATGACTGAAAAAAAAAAAAGTCTTTGTGTAAATCACGCACTCTGTGGTCCTTGGCTGTGTCTGCCCTAGGATAGATACCACATTTTATACCTGTGGGCCAGGATTCCCTCATTCTGCTGGTGAGAAACTGCACCTTGGCCTGTATATCTTCTCCAAGCCTCAACTCCAAACCTGCCAGGCTCCCTTGGCACCAGGCTGTGAAGGTTGGTGAGTTACTGACCGGGGGGTACTTGACAGAGGACCAGGGAGGAGACTGTGTCTTCACTGCGCTGGGAAGGAAGGGTGACTGGTGTGACACGCATTGGGTGAAGGAATAAAAGGAAGATTGCTGGGTCTGTGACCTTAGCGTTCACTGTCCCAGGAAAAGAAGAGGAAAAAAAAGACACGATTGGGAGTGGAAGGATGAGGGGTGCCCGGAGAGACCCTCAGGACACTTGTCACGTACAGAAGTGGCGAACCGCCGCTGTGGATCAGCAAGGACGCGAAACCGACCGTCCGAGGGTGGCCGTCCGCCCGTCCGGACGCCCAGAGGCAGCCCCCGCAGAGCCGTTAGCGCCCACGGGGGACGGCCGCCTTCCGCACCGGGCAGTGTCGCCGGCGGGCGCGCGCCCGACACGTCCTCTGGGCACTGCCCCCTCCGCGCGCGCGCGCGCCCGTCCCGCTGCACCCCGCCCCCTGCCCCCGGCCCGACTTGGGTGGACCCCGCGCGTGCCCGGGGCCGCGCACGCCCCCCTCCGACGCCAGCCGGGACCCCGGGCGGCGCGCGCCGGCGCCCCCTCCCCTCCCCGCCCGGCAGGCGCGCGCCGGCTCCCGCTCCCGCTCCCGCTCCCGCTGGCAGCGGCGACGGCGGCGGCGGCGGCGGCGGCGGCGGCGGCGGCTGTGGGGATTGTTTTTGTTGTCGCTGAGGCCGGAAGAGCCGCGGGAGCCGGGTCCCCGTCCCCGTCCCCGGGCCGGGCGCCGCCGCCGCCCCCTGCCCAGCGCCCGCGTCTCCGCGGCGCCCCTTCAGCGCCAAGATTCCGGAGATCAAGCGTTACGCGGCGGCGGCGGCGGCGGCGGCGGGGCCCGGAGCGGGAGGCACCGGGGACCGGGGCGAGGCGGCCCCCGCCGCTGCTGCCATGGAGGCTCTGGGACCCGGTGAGGAGCGCGCTCGGGGCCGAGGCTGGACCCTGACCCGGGGACCCGCGGGAGGGACCATTGCCACCCGGTCACCCAAACCGACTCGCGCGTCCGTGCCCGGGCTCGGGCCACCAGGCCTCGGGGAAGGGAACCCTTGCCCTCGGGCACTAAGCGGAGGGAGCTGACCAGGGCCTGAGGTGAAGGGGTGGGGGGAGAGCACCGCGCCCCAGCCTGGAGTCTTGGGCGGGATCTCGGGAGCTGAGGAAGGGAGGTCCAGGAAGATGACCTGTGTCCCTTGAGTCTCGGGGAGACCTGACTCAACCTCAAGAGGAGCTTAGAAGATCCGTGTCCCCCCTCCCTGCCCCCCTCCCCGGGTTGTGGCCAGGCTAGTTTGGGCCTCAAAAGGTCTGTGCCTGAGGAACGCAGAGGTCTGGCCCAAATCACGAAGCACCCCACTTACTATCCAGGATGTCTTGGTTTGGGGCCTGCACCCCTATCTTTTACTGTACTGGCAGATGGGCCAAGAGCCCTCAGATGAGGAAGGAGAACTTTGTTAAAACACCTCTCCTGACCCCTGAAGGCCAAGGGGTAAAATGTTCACTCTTTCTCCAAGGATCTATAGTTTGGCCTGTCACTCTGTCATTCCCAGAGTGGTCCAGGCTAGCCCTTGAGTGAATGGGAAGTCACCAGCCAGCCCTCATCAATATCCTGACTTCTCTTCTAATTGGGTTATGAGGGGTTGTGAGGATCAGAGAAGTGTCATTCACTGTGGGTATGGATGACCTCTTGTTATCTCCCTCCGCCTATCCCAACCGGAGGACTCATTCTAGGCTGTCTCCAGTGCTGTGTGAACCCCCCAACACGTTTCTAATAACTGGGCTAAGTAGGGCAGGGTTTAGGGCAGTGGTGGAATTAATTTTCAGACCTTATCTAAATAGTGCACTTAGTTGGAATGGTTCATTTTATTAAGGCATAGAAAAGAAGGTTTATTGTCTGAGTTTGGAAATTTTGCAGGTTTGTTTTCTTAGAACTTGTTTGCATAACTGGGTGATTAAATCCGACCTTCATTTTATTGCTTAAAGTTAAAGCGTTTTAGAGGCCCCATCCTAGTCAATTTTTTTTTGAACTGTGTTTTTTTTTTTTTTTGTCTTTTCTTTTTTGGTACTGGGGATCGAACCCAGGACGTTGCACTTGCTAGGCAAGCGCTTTGCCACTGAGCTACATCCCAGCCCCTAGTCAAATTTTTATATTTGCCTTTAAAAAATAAATTGATTTGAGCCTAGTGCGGTGGCACTTCCTTTAATCCCAGCATTTGGAATGCTGAGGCAGGAATTCTATGCCAGTCTGTGCTACTTAGAGAGAGCTTGTAAAAAAATGATTTGTCACATTAATATTATTTGATACATCTCACTGTATTATGCCATTACTCCAGATATGTCCCCCAGCTAAAAGCATGATCAAGACTTTAGAATGTAACAGAACTCTGTTCAAATCCAATCTAATAATTTAATAGTTGTATGACCCTGGGCAAATTACTTAATTCCTTTGAACTTCCATTTCCTCAAAATAAGGGTAATAATAATTATGTGCTGCAAGATTGTTATGAGAATGAAATGAAATAATGTATGTAAAAAGTCTTATTTTAGAGAGTAGAGCATTAGAGATGCTCAATAAATGCTTCTTCCCTCCCTTTGAAGAGTAACTTATAATCGAAGCAACTGTTGCATTTACTAGCTGATATGGAAAGATACTATGTAACTATGTACCCAAGGTGAATTTCATGAAAAGCATCAGCTGGCAATGTTAAAAACTGCCCTGGGATTTTTCCCATACCTTACTTTGGTTTGATTTCAATGTTAATAGGTTTGAGTATATACATACCTCTTTTACTCAGCATTGTTCAGATTGTGGGATATTAATTCTGATTAACTACATTTATAAGGCACTAATAATTAAGCCAAAATGTCACATGAATCTTCTCTCTTGAGTGTAATATTTTCCTTGTGCTGTCTAGCAAAATCCTCTTTTAGTGTCATAGTACCTTGGAAAGCCAATTAATAACAAGAAGCTACTTGTTGAGCAAGAAATGAGAACAAAGGGAGTATGTAGTTTTGAGTGATCTTGTATCCAGGCTGTTTTAGAACCTAGAGAAGTGTTCCTGCGTCGCTGTAGGGCACACCTAGATCTAGTGTTTTGTGCTCTCTTTATTGGAATAATTACTTAAAATCTCAATAAGTGTAGTTCTGCCCCCTCCTACCACCTATGTTCAGTTTATGACTAGATTACCATTTATTTTGGCTATGCTGATCATAAGTTTATTTTTTAATTTTTTTATGTTTCTTTTCATTGTTGTTAATGGTAATGCTAAAGATGGAACCCAGGGCCTCACTCACCCCTTTTGTTTACTAAATTCAAAGAAATCAGGGTTTTTGTGGGTTTTTTTGTTTTGTTTTTGCCAATACCAGGGCTTGAACTCAGGACCTGGGCACTGTCCTGTCCCTGAGCTTCTTTTGCTCAAGGCTAACACTCTACCACTTGAGCCACAGTGCCATTTCTGGCTTTTTCTTTTTATGTGGATCTGAAGAATCAAACCCAGGGCTTCATGTATGCTAAGAAAACACTCTACCACTAAGGCACATTTGCAGCCCAGAAATCAGGTTTTGAAATAAAATTTATTACTGATTAGTTTTGCAGCATTTGAGTTATCCTACTAGTCCTGAAATGAACATTTTAGAATATAGCTATATATAATGTACAAGTTATAAAATACAATGTATCTAAATTAATAAACATTGATATAATAAATGTATAATATAACTCAATATATCATATATTGTATTCTTTTTTTTTTTTTTGGGTCCGGTTGTGGGGCTTGAACTCTGGGCCTGGGCGCTGTCCCTCAGCTCTTCAGCTCAAGGCTAGCACTCTACCACTTGAGCCACAGCGCCACTTTCCGGCTTTTTTCTTTTCTGCTTATGTGGTGCTGAGGAATCGAACCCAGGGCCTCAGGTTTGCAAGGCAAGCGCTCTACCACTGAGCCACCTTCCCAGCCCAATATATTGTATTCTGTGTGTTATAGATTGTATATTATATATGTAGATATATAAATATTTTACTCTACTTTTATTGCTGAGGCAGGTGCTAGGGATCAGACCTAGGTATGTGTTTGTATGCTTGCATGCATTCTACCACAAAGCTACATCTCAACAACCCAACCCTCTACTTGTTAATCTCTTTTTTTTGTTTTGTTTTGTTAATTTCTTAGTTCCTCTTCCTTGTCCTTTTTTTTTTTTTTTTTAATGCCAGTTTTGAGGTTTGACCTTAGTGCCTGGGCTCTGTCCCTGAGCTTCTTTTGCTAAAGGCTAGCACTCTACCCCTGGAGCCTCAGAGCCACTTCCAGCTTTTTGTGTTTATGTGGTACTGAGGAATCTAACCCAGGGCTTCATGCACGCTAGGCAAGCACTCTGCCAACTGAGCTACATTCCCAGACTTCCTTGGCCTTTTGACATCTAGTACTTCAGAGAAGTATAGATGCCAAAGTACTGCAAAGGCTAGTGAGGGGGAAATGCAGTGGACTGAGAGGCCTTAATTCTAGTCATTGTTTGAAATCAAACTCATAGACAAGTCATTTGATCTAAGTTTCTGTTTCAAAATTTCTCTTCTAAGCTGGTCTTTTTTTTTTTTTTGGTCATTCATGGGGCTTGAACTCTGGACCTGGGCACTGTCCCTCAGCTCTTCAGCTCAAGACGAGTGCTCTACCACTTGAGCCACAGTGTCACTTCCGGTTTTCTGGTGGTTTATTGGAGATAAGAGTCTGGCTTTGAACTGTGATCCTCAGATCTCAGCCTCCTGAGTAGCTAGGAATACAGGCATGAGCCATTGATGCCCAGCTTTCTTTGTTTCTTTCTTTCCTTCCTTCTTTCTTTCTTTCTTTCTTTTTTTTGATGGTAGTACTGAGATTTGAGCTCAGGGCCTAGTGTTTGCTAAATAGGTGCTCTACCATTGAGCCACATCCCCAGTCAAAGCTGAATTTCTTCTAATTTTAGATTATGATGATTGCTTAAATATACCTTAGAAAATGCAAAGCTGACTTACTGTAAGATTTAATTAGATTGATTTTGCCTGTCACCTCTGATACTGTTTACTTCTTACCTTGTTTGTAGTTGTCTTATCACATCTCAAGTAGATCCCATTGTACACCAGAAAGTATAAGAGCTCTAAGCAATAATGTTTTTAGTATAAGCTGTGCTTTTGCTTTATTGAAATGTAATTGCATATTAGGGACAGAGTTTCTATTTGAGATTATTGGTAGTATTCCTTTCAACACTTAATAAATTCTTTTTGTTGTTGCTGGTTTCCTGCCAGTCCTGGGGCTTGAACTCAGGGCCTGGGCACTGTCCCTGAGCTTCTTTTGCTCAAAGTTAGCACTCTACAACTTGTGAGCCACAGCGCCACTTCCAGCTTTTTCTGTTTATGTGATACTGAAGAATTGAACACAGGGCTTCATGCATGCTAGGCAAGCACTCTACCACTATGCCACATTCTCAGCCCAACACTTAGTAAATTCTTGTAACTTGATGGATGTTGAATTAAGTGTCTAGGGGATCAGAAAGTCCATTTCTTCTGAGAATTTACAAGTCTAGTGGAGGAGACAGGATAACATAACAAATGGTTTCTTATACTTGTGCTAAGTTTGAGAATGCAGAGAATGAATCTCCCAGCCTGTGAGAATTAGAAAAGTATTTCCAAGGAAGTTGTACCTGAACTGAGTTTTAGGAGGAAAATTAACAATGAATTTAACTATTAACAGCATATAGTGATCTGTCAACACCCACACACACAAAATCATTAAAATATTTGCTCTGGTTTTCCTAAGTGGTGTTAGACTAGGGCAGCTTATTACTTCAACTCTCTTTCTCTCTCTCTCTCTCTTTCTCCCTCCTTCCCTCTCCCCCCTCTCTCTCTCTCTTTCTCTCTCCCTCCATCTCTCTCTCCTCCCTCTCTCTCTCCCTCTCACCTTCTCTTCTTCTCTTCCTCCCTCCCTCTCTCCTTTTCTCCTCTCCTCTCTTTTGTTCTTCTGTCTCTCCTTCTCTCTCTCCTCTTCCACCCAGCTACAATTTGAACTCAGGTCCTCATTGCTTACTAGGCAAGTAGTTTTACCACTTGAACCATATCTCCTAGCCCTGAAGCTTTCTCTCTTTGGTGAATTGTCTTTGTTTTCAATGAAATGGCATGACAGTAAAGGAGTTGGTAACTTTCCATTGTAACTGCAACCTACATTGCTCAACATAGCAGAAAGATATTTATTTTTTTAGGCCTATGCCCACTTGATATTCTCATCAAAGGGAGTATGTGTTTCTCTAGACAAATATCTCTCAGATTGTGTTGCACAAAATTCCTTCCTGCTGAAAAGTAATACATTTTCAACTTTGAGGGAAAGAGAGAAAGAGGTGGGGGAGGGCAAAGAAAGGAAAAAGAATGATATATGGAAAAATAAACTGGATAAATGATGAGCTAAAGTTAGGAATACGTATTTATTACATGATTTTTTAGAGAATTTAATATGATAATATTAAATTTTGGGGGTTTCCGGGGTGTTTTTTGTGGCATTGGTGTATGAACTCAGGGCCTTGAACTTTCAAGGCTTTCTTGCTTGTCTGGTTCTCTGTCCCTTGAGCCACTCCTCCACTTACTCTGTGTGTGAGTGTGTGTGTGTGTGTGTGTGTGTGTGTGTGTGTGTGTGTGTGTGTTTATGTATGTCAGAGAGAGAGAAAGAAAGAGAGGGAGAGGGATTCACAATTTCATATTTTAGAGCAGGCTGTGCTTGAACTCTCATTCCTCCTGTTTCAGCCTTCTGAGTGCTAGAAATAAAGTTGTGTGCCACCATGCCTGGATTTTATTTTAAAATACATATAATTTTATACACCTAGTAATTGAACTATTAATGATTACACAAAGTTTTACACAGGGGCTGGGAAGGTGGCTCAGTGGAGGAGTGTTTGCGTAGCATGCATGAGGCTCTGGGTGCGATTCCTCAGCCACATACACAGAAAAAGCCGGAAGTGGCACTGTGGCTCAAGTGGTAGAGTGTTAGTCTTGAGCAAAAAGAAGCTCAGAGACAGTGCCTAGCCTGATTCAAGCCCCAGGACTGGCAAAAAAAAAAAAAAAGTTTTACACAGTATCCTATATGTAAGAGGAATTCCCCATGTTGTCTGTCTAATTTTGATGTCCCTTATATTCAGAATGATTGTTGAGTGATGAAATATTTAGAAATTTTAAGAACCTTAAGTTAATTAAACACTCCCAGACTTTTATGTCAGAATATGTTCAGTGAATAACAAGATCTCAGCAAATAGGCTCTCATCATCGTTGTCACGAAGGGAACATTCCTCTTCATGACCAAATAGCTAAGCCTATGACTTTCACATTCTTTAGGACCTCCAACCAGCCTCTTTCAGCCACCTCGTCGTCCTGGCCTTGGAACTGTTGGGAAACCAATTCGACTATTAGCAAATCATTTCCAGGTGCAGATCCCAAAAATAGATGTATATCATTATGATGTGGATATTAAACCAGAAAAACGACCTCGTAGAGTCAATAGGTAAGGATTAGAAAACTTCTGTATTTATAAGTGTATATATAATTTACTTACCATGTATTATAATGCCCTCTGGATTCGTCAGCAAATTGATTTTGTTTTTAATCTAAGGTGGTAAGTTAGTTTCCTTCCCCTCCCTTCCTTCCTTCCTTCCTTCCTTCCTTCCTTCCTTCCTTCCTTCCTTCCTTCATTCCTTCATTCCTTCCTTCTTCCTCTCTCTCTCTCTCTCTTTCTTTTTTTTGTCCACTGTTGGGCTTGAACTCTGGGCCTAGGTGCTATCCCAGAGCCTCTTTGTACTCAAGGCTAGCACTCTACCACTTGAGCCACAGCACCACTTCTGGTTTTTGTGTGGTTAATTGGAGATAAGAGTCTCAGAAATTTTTCTGCCCAGGCTGGTTTGGAATTTCAGTCCTCAGATCTCAGCCTCCTAAGTAGCTAGGATTACAGGCATGAGCCACCAGTACCTGACTAAGGTAGTAAGTTTCTTATTTGGTTATCCTCCTTTTATTCTATCAGAATGATTGATATGTCATTGGTCAATGATTAAATATATATTGAATGAGAAAGATAGTCACTTTCATTGATCAAGATTATTAGAAGTTTATAAAATAAATGGAGACAGTAGTGCTTATAGGAAATAGTACTGTCTAGAAATTCAAATTTTGATATTGTGTTGGTATTGAATATTGGCTATGAATTACCTTGGAAAATTGGGGTTTTGGTGGTTCATTACTATAATCCTAGCTACTCGGAGACTGAGATCTGAGGGTTGAGATTTGAAGCCAGTGAAGGTAGACAAAATCATCTCCAATTAACCAGCAAATATCTGGGAATAGGGGTATGGCTCGAATAGTAGAATACCAGCTTGAGCAGGGAAGGAAGGAAGGAAGGAAGGAAGGAAGGAAGGAAGGAAGGAAGGAATGAAGGAAGGAACGAAGGAAGGAAGGAAGGAAGGAAGGAAGGGTGCAAGGTCCTGTGTTTAAGCTCTAGTCTTGGTACAAAAAAAAAAAAATTTTTTTTTTGGTCGGTCGTGGGACTCGAACTCTGTGCTTAGGCACTGTCCTTGCCCTCTTCAGCTCAAGGAGAGTGCTCTACCACTTGAACCACAGCACCACTTCTGGTTTTCTAGTGGTTTATTGGAGATAAGAGTCTTACGGACTTTCCTGCCTGGGCTGGCTTTGAACCGCCAGATCTCAGCCTCCTAAGATTACAGGCGTGAGCTACCAGCGCCCAGCTCAAAAAATTTTTTTTAATTGTTTTGGGGCTAGGATGTAGCTCAGTGGCAAAGTGCTTGCCTAGCAAGTGCAATATCCTGGGTTCGATCCCCGTACTAAATAAACAATAGTTTTAAAGAATTGTCTTGGAAAAATAATGTCAGAAATAAGCTCTGTTTATTTCTAACATTAAGAAAGGTTCTGATGTGGTTAGTCTAGCAGGAATTTACCAGATATGAAGATATTCTCTGTAGCAGAAGATTCAGACTCAGATCTATCTGTATCTTACACTGCATCCCTCAGTTTCCTTGTCACTGCATTTATTTCAGAGTCTGTACATAGTGTGGCCTGGTATATGTGCAAGACCACTTAAGTAAGGCTATGCATGCTTGACTAAAACAATTTTATTCTAAAGGAACTATGTCAGTAACTTTCCTTTCTTTCTTTTTTTTTTTTGGGGGGGGGGAGGGGCCCAGTCGTGGGGCCTGAACTCTGGGCCTGGGCGCTGTCCCTCAGCTCTTCAGCTCAAGGCTAGCACTCTACCACTTGAGCCACAGCACCACTTCTGGCTTTTTTCTTTTTGCTTATGTGGTACTGAGGAATCGAACCCAGGGCCTCATGCATGCAAGGCAAGTGCTCTACCACTGAGCCACTTTCCCAGCCCCTATCAGTAACTTTTGTAAAGCAAGAGTATTTTACTACATTGCCCTGTCTATACTACTTGAAGACTCTTATTCAAGCCAGGCACCGGTGGCTCACACCTGTAATCCTAGCTACTCAGGAGGCTGAGATCTGAGGATCATGGTTCAAAGCCAGCCCGGGCAGGAAAGTCCATGAGACTCATCTCCAATAAACTACTAGAAAACCAGAAGTGGTGCTGTGGCTCAAGCGGTAGAGCACTTGTGTTGAGCTGAAGAGCTGAGGGACAGCACCCAAGCCCAGAGTTCAAGCCCCACAACTGACAAAAGAAAAAGGGGGTAGGGCTGGGAATGTGGCCTAGTGGTAGAGTGCTTGCCTAGCATGCATGAAGCCCTGTGTTCACTGGCTCCCGCTTGCTGACTTTTTAAAATTCCTCAAATGAATCATAACTTTCACTCTTACTCTTTTTAGTAGTATCAAACTATATTTAGATGAATGTTTAGCTATGCTTTCCTTATTGTTCACCATTTTTCAAAGTTAACTGCCACTATCTCCACTACTGTTAAGGGAGGTAGTAGATACAATGGTACGGCACTTCAAGATGCAGATATTTGGTGATCGGCAGCCTGGCTATGATGGCAAAAGAAACATGTACACAGCACATCCACTGCCAATTGGACGGGACAGAGTAAGTGTTACAGAAAGAAATACTTGGGTTTTTCAGTAAGCATTATATATAGCAAAATGTTGACCTTTTTGGTAATACTTCAATTCTTTATTCAGAGTTGTTTTTCATAGTGATGATAGATTTGTTATTCTGTCCATATTTGTTGCCTCTTAGTTAACTAATAATTAAAGATGAGATGAGCTGGGTATGATACTGAACACATATAATCCAGCTACTTAGGAGGAAGAGGCAGGCAGGAAGATCTTGAGTCTGTATTTCAAAAACAAAAACAAAAGGACTAGGGCCATGGCTAGTAGGTAGAGGTCCTAGGTTTAATCCCTAGTAACTCAAAAGCAAAAAACCAAAACCAAAAATGAAAAAAACCACAACAATCTATAAAGTGAAACATAATCATAAAATTGATCTTCAAATACTTTCTTTAAATATATTCCAAATTTCTCACATTAACAATGTACTTTTAACAAAGTACTACCTAATTCTGAGCCAATTGAGTTTTATAGTACCTGCTAATGAAAATTCATAATAAAAGTACTTTTTAAAACACTTATTTTTAAAATTAAAAAAGCAGGACTAGAGGCTGGGTGCCAGTGACTCAATCCTGTAATCTTACCTACTCAGGCTGAGACCTAAGGATCACAGTTCAAAACCAGCTGAAGGGCTGGGAAGGTGGCTCAGTGGTAGAGCGCTTGCCTTGCATGCGTGAGGCCCTGGGTTCCATTCCTCAGCACCACATAAGCAGAAAAAAAAGCCAGAAGTGGCACTGTGGCTCAAGTGGTAGAGCGCTAGCCTTGAGCTGAAGAGCTGAGGGACAGCGTCCAGGCCCAGAGTTCACGCCCCACGACCGGACCAAAAAAAAAAAAGATAAAAAAAAAAAACCAAAACCAGCTGAAGCAGCAAAGTCCATGAGACTCTATCTCCAATTAACCACCAAAAAAAGCAGGCCACTGGTAACTCACACCTATAATCCTCACAATTTTAGGATTGTGGTTTGAAGCCAGCCCTGGCAGAAGAGTCTTAGACTCTTATTTCCAATAAAACTACCCAGAAAAACCCAGAAGTAACACTGTGGCTCAAGTGGTAGAATGCTAGCCTTGAGCAAAAGAAGCTCAGTGACAGCACTCATGCTCTGAGTTCAAGCCCCAAGCCCTGAACACACACATACACAAAAGCCACAAGTAGAGCTGTGGCTTAAGTGGTAGAGTGCTAGCCTTGAACACAAAAGATTAGGGACAGCACCCAGACCCTGAATTCAAGCCCCAGGACTGGCACAAAAATTTAAGAAAAGAAAAATGAACACTATATCAAAAGGTAAGAATTTATGAGACCTCCTTTGAATTACCAATTGATATTAATAAAAATATATAGATCCTACCACCCAAGCCATTTAGCTTAAAACTGTAGATGTACACTTAGAACTAAGCCTTCTGAGTAACTAGGACTACAAGCATGAGCCACTGGTACCTGGCTTGTTTTGATATTTTTTCTAACAATATGTCTGGGAGATGTCTCATTGATATCTACTTTTTTTTTTTTCAAATTCAGAGATTTTTTTTTCTTTTTTTTTTTTTTTACAGTACTGGCATATGAACGCCATCCCTCACACTTACTAAACCAGGTGCTCTACTACTTAAGCCATGTTCCTAGACCATTTTTATTTTTCAGATAGTGTCTGGAATGCCTAAGCTGGCTTGGACCATGATCTTCCTATTTCTGTTCCCTGAATAGCTGGGAAGATACATGTATACCACTAAGACCCGCTTTTATTAGTTTAGAAGGAAGTCTCTTAAACTTTTTGCCTGGACTAGACTCAAACTTCAGTCTTTCTGATCTCAGCTTCCTGAGTAGCTAGGATAATAGGCATGAGCCAGTATACCTGGCTTCAAATTTTATTACTTTATGATATAACATTACTTTAACCTTTTTTCTTTAAATTTCTTGAGACAGGGTCTCAATATGTAGCCCAGGCTGATCTTGAACTTTTTTTTTTGCCAGTCCTGGGGCCTGAACTCAGGGCCTGGGCACTGTCCCTCAGCTCTTCAGCTCAAGGCTAGCACTCTACCACTTGAGCCACAGCACCACTTCCGGCTTTTTTCTTTTTGCTTATGTGGTGCTGAGGAATTGAACCCAGGGCCTCAGGCATGCAAAGCAAGTGCTCTACCACTGAGCCACCTTTCCAGCCCCGTGCATATCTATTCTAAGTGTACAATTCATCAATACTAAGTACATTCACACTGTTGTGAGTTCATTACTTCCATTCATCACTAGAACTTTTTTTATTATTTCAAACAAAAACTGGACCCAGAAAATAATTTTCCATACTCCATTGCCCTGATTCTCTGGTAACCAATATTATGCTTTTGTTTCTATTAATTTAACTAGTCTAGGTACATTATAAGGTAGAAATATATAATGTTTGTCCTTCTGGTTTACTTTACTTAATATAATGTTTACAAGGTTCATCCATGTTGTAGCATACATTATTTTTAACTATTGTATAGTATTCCATCTTAAATTTATTCCCCTATTAATGGATATATTGTTTCCAATGTCTTGCAAGTACAGAAAATATTAAGATAAATATACTTATGTATATACCACATTGAATGTTCTTAGAATCTTTCCCATAGCCTTTGTAAACATGTATGCTTACATATATTTTCCTCCCTAGGTTGATATGGAGGTAACCCTCCCAGGTGAGGGTAAAGACCAAACCTTCAAAGTGTCTGTTCAATGGGTATCAGTTGTGAGTCTTCAGTTGCTTTTAGAAGCTTTAGCTGGGCACTTGAATGAAGTCCCAGATGATTCAGTTCAAGCACTTGATGTTATTACAAGACATCTTCCCTCTATGAGGTTAGTGCCTTCATTTGGATCCTTTCTCACAAATTTTTGGTAGGTTCTATTTAACCATTGAAAGGTTTCTGCCCAAGTCATATTTCAGATTTGAAATTAGTTCATGCAGTTGAAAATGGAAGATCATTCAAGTCTTAATTATAAAACATGCAAACTTGTTTCTGCAGGTATACTCCAGTGGGCCGCTCTTTTTTCTCACCTCCTGAAGGTTACTACCATCCTCTGGGAGGGGGCAGAGAGGTTTGGTTTGGCTTCCATCAGTCTGTGAGACCTGCAATGTGGAATATGATGCTCAATATTGATGGTAGGATGAAGCTTTTTTAATCTGTTAACTCTTTCCACTGGTGTGTGTGTGTGTGTGTGTGTGTGTGTGTGTGTGTGTGTGTGTGTTTATTGGACCTTCTATTTTTCCTAAAGCTCAGCATCCTTCCTCTTTGTTTGATAGTATCTGCAACTGCTTTCTACCGGGCTCAACCTATCATTGAGTTCATGTGTGAGGTGTTAGACATTCAGAACATCAATGAACAGACCAAACCTCTAACTGACTCCCAGCGCGTCAAGTTTACTAAAGAAATCAGAGGTAGGTATTTGTGTTAATGTTGCTTTGGATAGGCAGCTCAATGTGATGCAAGTAGTCTGGGTTTTGGAGCCAAGCAGAACTGGGCTTCCATCACAACCTAGCTAGTTCTAGCATGGGAACATTGGGCAAGTTTCTTATCCACTGCAAACCTCTGTGAATCTTAGTTTATTCAAATTATCGATCTAAAAGAAAAAGATAATATATACCTTGCAGTGTTGTTGTAAGAATTAAATGCAATTAGGTTTATAATTCTTTCTAGCATAGTATAACTCGGTGAAATACGACCCAAAAAATTGTTTTTCAGTACTGGGGTTTTGACTTTAGAGCTCAGAGTTTGCTAGCTAGGCAAGCACTCTACCACTTGAGTCATGCCTTTAGCTCATAACTCAATGATACCCTTTCTTATAAACTACCCTTTTATTAAAATAATGCACATATATTTATTCTCTTGGATTTTTACCTCTTTATTTATTATTAGCTGTTTTCTCTCACTAGACAATAAGCTTCATGAGGACTAACACCAGACACGAAAGTAATGTCAGAACATATTTGATGCTGAATAAATACTTGAGTGAAATACTAAAGTTGGTTGATTAGTCTGTAGTCAGACATGGTGTTACACACATGTAATTCCAGAACTCTGGAGGCTGAGGCAGAAGGGTTGAGAATTCAAGGCCATCTTGGGCTACATAGTGAAATTTTGTCTCAAAATGAAAAGAAAAAAGGAAGAGAAGATGTCCACAAAAAGAAGGAGTAAGATGCCAGGTGTCAATGGCTTTCACCCTGAATCCCAGCCACTCAGGAGATCTGAGGATTGCAGTTTGAAGCCAGACCAGGCAGGAAAGTCTGAGAGACTCTTATCTACAATTAATTACCAAAAAGCCAGAAGTGGAGCTATGCCTGAAATGGTAGAATGCCAGCCTTGAGAGCAAAAACACTCAGAACACTCAGTACTTAGATCCTGAGTTCAAGCCCCAGGACCAGCACCAAAATAAAAATTAAAAACAACAAAAACAAAAACAAGGGCAAGGAACAGAGAGGTTTAGTTAGCATCTAGGTCCTAAGGTACTCTATCTGAGCCTTTTTGCCTTTAAATGATTATACTTCATCCTCAAATTCTTTTTTTTTTTTTTTGGTCCGGTCATGGGGCCTGAACTCTGGGCCTGGGCGCTGTCCCTCAGCTCTTCAGCTCAAGGCTAGCACTCTACCACTTGAGCCACAGCCCCATTTCCAGCGTTTTTTTTTTTTTGCTTATATGGTGCTGAGGAATCGAACCCAGGGCCTCAGGCATGCAAGGCAAGCACGCTACCACTGAGCCACCTTCCCAGCCCCATCCTCAAATTCTTGCAACTTTTATTTGTACAGTGTCGTGAGTTTCAAAGACAATATTCCAATTAGTTTTTTCACTGTTATTTTCATTAAACTGATAATTTAGCTCTTTTTTTTTTTTAATTTTAGGTCTCAAAGTTGAGGTGACTCACTGTGGACAGATGAAACGGAAATACCGAGTTTGCAATGTGACTAGACGGCCAGCCAGTCATCAAACGTATGTTAGTCACATCTAGAATACTAAGATAACAGTTCTGGTAACAGGAAGCTACTAAAATCATTTGCAAAATTGGTATAGTGAGCCAGGGGTTGGTGGCTCACACCTGTAAGCCTAGCTTCTCAGGAGGCTGAGATATGAGGATCACAGTTCAAAGCCAGCCTAGACAGGAAAGTCTGTGCGACTCTTATCTCCAGTAAACCCCTAGAAAACTGGAAGTGGCTTGTAGCTCAAGTGGTAGAGTGCTCGCCTTGAGCTGAAGAGCTGAGGGACAGAGCCCAGGCCCAGAGTTCAAGCCCCACAGCCGACCAAAAAAAAAAAAACCACACACGCAAATTGGTACAGTGTACTTTAACTTATTTATTTATTTATTTTGCCAGTTCTGGGGTTTGAACTTAGGGCCTGGGCACTGTCCCTGAGCTTTTTTTTGCCCAAGGCTAGCACTTTATCACTTGAACCACAGTGCCACTTACTACGGTTTTTTCTATTTATGTGGTACTGAGGAATCGAACCAAGGGCTTCATGCATACAAAGCAAGCACTCTACCACTAAAGCCTAATGTACTTTAATTTTCAAGATCACCACAGTCGTCACTTTTAACATTAATGCTTTAAAACATGTTTTAGATATTCTTTCTTGTTTTATTTGCTTTTTTTTTTTTTGGGTTCGGTCCTGGGGCCTGAACTCTGGGCCTGGGCGTTGTCCCTCAGCTCTTCAGCTCAAGGCTAGCGCTCTACCACTTGAGCCACAGCTCCACTTCCGGCTTTTTTCTTTTTGCTTATTGGTGCTGAGGAATCGAACCCAGGGCCTCAGGCATGCAAGGCAAGCGCTCTACCACTGAGCCACCTTCCCAGCCCATCAATTCACCTTTTAAACAGAGTATAAATATAGATTGACTTTTATTTAAGTATAAAGAATAATCACTGCCAGAATCTCTTATTATAGTTCTCAACACATGTAAGCCTCAAAGCCATATAAGGCTGTTGTGGGAAGACATGCTGCTCTACATTTTTGTGTGGAGTTTTTCCCCACCCTTTGTAGCTAGCTATCATTTCTAGATGTGAGTGTTATGGCCTGCCTTCAGCAGCATCCTCCCTTCTACATCCCTGGCCTCACTTTTCTTTTTTTTTTTTTTCTTTTTTTGTCGGTCGTGGGGCTTGAACTCTGGGCCTGAGCATTATCCCTCAGCTCTTCAGCTCAAGGCAGGTGCTCTACCACTTCCAGTTTTCTGAGTGGCTTATTGGAGATGAGAGTTGAGTTTCCTGCCTGGGCTGGCTTTGAACTGTGATCCTCAGATCTCAGCCTCCTGAGTAGCTAGGATTACAGGCATGAGCCACTGGTGCCTGGCTTTGATTTTTATTTTTTAGTTGATTTATCGAGGTAGAAAATGTTACTAGGCTTTGTTTACTTGTTTGAAAAAAAAGAAAGAAAATATATTTCTAAAAAAACCCTATCTCTTTAGCTTTCCTTTACAGCTAGAAAATGGTCAAGCTATGGAATGTACAGTAGCTCAATATTTTAAGCAAAAGTATAGCCTGCAGCTGAAATACCCCCATCTTCCCTGTCTCCAAGTGGGACAAGAGCAAAAGCATACATACTTGCCACTTGAGGTAAGCTGAAATCAATTTTCTTTTGCCAATCTGCTAATCTCTTGAATAGTTTAAAGACTAAAAAAAAAAGTTTTAAACCTGTGATAGAATTCTAAAATATTTTGGACAGATAACCTCACTTTATAACTATTTAAATGTTTCTAGAAATGGAGGATGTATGATAGTTTAGTAAAAGTTTAAGATATAGAAGCCTATTGATACAGAAATAAATTTTTCTCTATCTCTCAACAGGTCTGTAATATAGTAGCAGGGCAGCGATGTATAAAGAAGCTCACAGACAATCAGACATCCACAATGATCAAAGCCACAGCAAGATCTGCTCCTGACAGACAGGAAGAAATCAGTAGACTGGTAAGGCATAGACTTCAAGATTAGCCAGCTCTAAGATAAAAATAATAATAATAATAGAAATTTTCTGATGGGACACAGTTACTCTTTTTATATATGCAGGCTTTCCTGTTCTTTAGGTAAAGAGCAATAGCATGGTGGGTGGACCTGATCCATACCTTAAAGAATTTGGGATTGTTGTCCACAATGAAATGACAGAGCTTACAGGTCGGGTCCTTCCAGCCCCAATGCTGCAGTACGGAGGCCGGGTAAGTTTTCTGTTTATCTCAATAAGCTTCTCCATTGCAGTCTAAACAAGATTATAATCCATTTTCTAACTACTCAATGTTAATTAAAACTATAGTTAAACTCATTTATGGCCTTTTGTCTTTTGACTGATGCTGAATAAAATTTTGAATTTTTCCCTGTCTTGAACATTAAATGGCCTTACATTATAAAGTCTTTTCTCTTTTCTTTCTTTTTTTTTTTTTTTTTTAAGAATAAAACAGTAGCTACACCCAACCAGGGTGTCTGGGATATGCGAGGAAAACAGTTTTATGCTGGCATTGAAATTAAAGTTTGGGCAGTTGCTTGTTTTGCACCTCAGAAACAATGTAGAGAAGATTTACTGAAGTGAGTATCTTCATGTTTTTAGCTTAGTAATACCCTCCATGTTGTGAAATACTGTCTTTATGTGCTGTGTATACTGCCTCTAAATCCCTGATGCCCATAGCAATAGCAGCTGGGTAGAAAAATACCTGATATCACCATAAATTACAAACTTGAGAATTACATTATCTGACTCAGCTTCCATATGTTTAGAGCACAAATTTGTGAGTAAGAAAGCTGAAGCAATGCTGCTTGTTGAATTCTTCCATTTTTAGTAATTTGCATTTTAATAGTACTTCTTTGGGTATTGTGTTTTTTTCAAAAAAGGATTAAAAACTTGCAGGCATTGCCAGGAGCAGGTGGCTCAGGTAGCTCTCCTCCATGAGACTCTTACCTCCAATTAATCACCAGAAAACCAGAAGTGGTGCTGTGGCTCAAGTGGTAGAATCCTCCCCTTGAGCTGAAGAGCTAAAGAACAGTGCCCTGGCCTAGAATTCAAGCCCCACTTCCGACAAAAACAAAAACAAACAAATCCTGCCAGGCACGAATGGCTAATGCCTATAATCATAGCTACTCAAGAAGCTGAGATCTGAGGTTTGAAACCAGACCAGGCAGAAAAGTCATTTCCAATTAACCACTCAAAAACTGGAAATGAAACTGTGGCTCAAAGTGGTAGAGTGCTAGCCTTGAGCAAAAGAGCCCAGGGACAGTGCCCGGGCCCCAAGTTCAAGCCTTATGACCAACAGGAAAAAAAAAAAAAAGAGGATTAAAAACTACTTTTTATTTTTAGTTAGTTGTGGGGCTTGAACTCAGGGCCTGGGCACTGTCCCAGAGACCCTTTGTACTCAGGGCTAGCACTCTACTACTTGAGCCACAGCACCACTTCTAGTTTTTGAGTGGTTCATCGGAGATAACAGTCTCATGGGGACTTTCCTGCCCAGGCTGGCTTTAAACCGTGACCCCTAGATCTCAGCCTCCTGAGTAGTTAAGATCACAGATGTAAGCCACCAGCACTTGGCTTTATTATCTATCTATCTATCTATCTATCTAGATGCCAGTCCTGGGCTTAAACTCAGGGCTTGGGCACTGTCCTAGAGCTTCTTTGCTCAAGGCTAGTACTCTACCACCTTAAGCCATAGGGCCACTTCCAGCTTTTTCTGTTTATGTGGTACTTAGTAATCGAACCCAGCGCTTCATGCATGCTAGGCAAGTACTCTACCACTAAGCCACATTCCCAGCCCCTTAGTTTGTTTTTAATCATTCTGATTTACTACTGAGAATGTTTTTTTGTTTTTTGCTGGTCATGGGGCTTGAGCTCTGGGCCTGGGCGCTGTTCTTCAGCTCTTCAACTCAAGGCTAGTGCTCTACCACTTTTGCTTATGTGGTGCTGAGAAATCTAACCCAGGGCCTCATGCATGCAAGGCAGGCACTCTACCACTGGGCTACCTTCCCAGCCCACTACTGAGAATATTTTACTGCATGGTTGGTTACTAGCTGACTTGGTTTACATTCTATATTGCACCAGTCTATATTAAAGAAATTTGTTTGGAATGGGATGAAAGAAGGGAATCCTGCAATCCACTGGCAAATATACTAGAGATCATTCAGAAAGTTTTGTGCATAGATTGAAACAATTTCTTCAATCCAAAAATTAAAATTCTACAAAGAATTTTGAGTTTTGAGAGATTTCTTTTGATATTGTTATTGAATCAAATCTAAGTTTGACTCTAATCCTAAATACACTGATTTTGTGATGCCCTATTTCTGCAGTCTCAGTTGAACACAACCTTGTCTAACTCTTCTTTTTCCAGCCTTCCCAAATATGTGCTACCTGAAATTTTGACACATTTTTCTTCAGTACAGAATTGCTGATTTAAATATTAAAATTTATCAGCAACCACACACTAAGCACCAGAGGACTCCTGCCTATAATTGTAGCTACTCAGAAGGAGAATTTTAGTTTAAAACCAGCAAGGGCAGGAAAGTCCATGAGACTCTTATCTTCATTTAACTACCAAAAGGGCAAAAATAGAGCTGTGGCTTAAGTGGTAGAATGCTAGCCTTGAACAAGAAAGCTCAAGGAAAGTACCCAGGCCCTGAGTTTAAGACCCACTACTGCCAACAAAAAAAAATAACCACAGCAAATCTTTGAACAGGAATGCTATTGTAATCCCCGAGGTCCAGCTAAACCATAAGAACTTAAAATTTTTTAATGAGAACAAGCGTTCAGTTGTAGAGCATATGCTTGCCATACACAAGGCTTTGGGTTCAATCCCCAGTTGTGCAAAAGCAAGAATAAAGGGACTTGGAATGTGGCTTAGTGGTAGAGTGCTTGCCTAGCATGCATGAAGCCCTGGGTTCAATTCCTCAGTTCCACATAAGCAGAAAATGCCAAAAGTGGTGCTATGGCTCAAGGTGTTAAGAGTGCTAGTCTTGAGTAAAAGAGCTCAGGGACATTGTCCAGGCCCTGTGTTCAAGCCCTATGACTGGTCAAAAATAATAAAGTAAAAATTCTAGACTAAGCGCCAGTGGTTCATACCTATAATCATAGTTGAGAAGGCTGAGATACAGAGGTTGCCAGTTCAACCCAGCCCAGACAGAAAAATCCATGAGAATCCATTTTATATTATCCAACAAAAAGTAGGGCTGGAGGTATGGCTCAAGTGGTAGAGTACAAGGCGATTGAATGTGGAACCTTGGGTTCAAACCCTAGAACTGTTAACAACAGAAAAATTCAAAACTATAATCTGATGGTTTATTAATACAGATTCTCTGATATAATTGTAGTGGTACAACTACTGGTCTGTGTGTGTGTGTGTGAGCGAGAGAGAGAGAGAGAGAAAGAAAGAAAGAGAAAAAGAAAGAAAGAGAAAGAGACAGTCCTAGGGCTTGAGCTTAGGGCCTGGGTGCTGTCCCTGAGCTTTTGTACTCAAAGCTAATGCTCTACCACTGGAGCCACAGCTTTACTTCCTTTCAGCTTTTTGGTGATTAATTGGAGATAGTATGATGGACTTTCCTACTCAGGCTGTCTTGGGACCACAGTCCTCTGATCTCAGCCTCCTGAGTAGCTAAGGTTACAGGCATGAGCCACTGGCACTCAGCTTGCTAGACTTTTTCTTTTCTTTCTTTCTTCATTCTTTCTTTCTTGCTTGCTTTTTTTTTTTTTTGTCAGTCAAGGGGTTTGAACTTTGGGCCTGGGCACTGTCCCTCAGCTCTTCAGCTCAAGGCTAATGCTCTACCACTTGAGCCACAGCACCACTTCTGGTTTTCTGGTGGCTAATTGGAAATAAGAGTCTTACGGACTTTCCTGCCCGGGCTGGCTTTGAACCTTGATCATCAGATCTCAGCCTCCTGAGTAGCTAGGATTATAGGCATGAACCACCAGTGCCCAGCTTGCTAGTCTGTTTTTATAAGCTCATTAAAGGGTTCTTTTTGTCTGTTGACATTGATGCACACTGAATGAAAACTCTGTGAACTTGCTGTTTCTATCTTAACAGGAGTTTCACTGACCAACTTCGTAAAATCTCCAAGGATGCAGGAATGCCTATCCAGGGTCAGCCTTGTTTCTGCAAGTATGCACAAGGGGCAGACAGTGTGGAGCCCATGTTTAAACATCTGAAAATGACATACGTGGGCCTACAACTAATAGTGGTTATCTTGCCTGGGAAGACACCAGTTTATGGTATGAACCCTTTTGATGTTGAATGAGGGATGATTTCAAGTAGTTGGTTTGATAGGATAATCTAAGTGTGCTACAGTCACAAGTAATTTCAAACTGTCAGTGGTTCAAAGCAACTAAGATAGTGGTAAAGAATTTGCCTAACATTCACAAGCCCCTACATTTGGTTCCCAGCCCTGTAAACAGACAACAATGAAGTTTTGTGGGGTTTTTGTTTTGTTTTGTTTTTGTTGGTCATGGGGCTTGAACTCTGGGCCTGGGTGCTGTCCCTGAGGTCTTCAACTCAAGGCTAGTGCTCTACCACTTGAGCCACAGTGCCACTGTGGTTTCCTGGTAGTTAATTGAAGAGTCTCACAGACTTTCCTGCCTGGGCTGGTTTGAATCTTGAACCTCAGATCTCAGCCTCCTGAGTAGCTAGGGTTACAGGTGTGAGCCACCAGTGCCTGGCCGAAGATTTGTTTCTTGTTCCTGCTACAAGTGACTTCTGCTTCATGTTGTCATCGCCACTCTTAGATCCACCTTGGTAGAACAACCATTGTTGGAATGTTGCTGTCCCATCTTTCTTTTCTCTCTGCATCTTCTTGGCTATAAGAGGATATGGGGCTATATTCAACCTGTGGGTAGTTGGGGAAGAAAGTGATTGGAAATGGAGCAGGAAATACTGTACAATCCTTTCATAGTCCAGGAATCTGGGAAAGTTGGAATGTTTGGTAAAAAGCACTTAGGAGATCAAAGTGGGAATGAGTGGGGGAGCCAGCCACTTCCAGGAGAGGACATAGTTACTTTGTATCTATTGGAAGAAGCATGATAAAAAGTTCTGGTTATCATCTGGGTCAATATTGTAGAAACTACAGAGTAACCCTTCAACCCTTCCTGTATTTGCTTCTTTTGTTACCTTCTGTTTAATCCCTACCATTTAGAGTAAAGAAAAGGTAAAATTCAAAAGGTGTGTATGTGCTGAGAGGGAGGAGCAGGGAAGATTGACTATTTTGCCAGAATAGTCATGTGGGGGAAAAAAAAAACTCAAAGGAGTTTGCCAGTGGTGGCAAGTAGCTCTAAAGAATGAAGGAAGCAGGCTAGCTTCCAGGCCTCCAGGAAAGGAGAAAGGAAAAGGGTGGGGAGGACCTGTCCAAACGGGAAGAGAGGGAGGGGGGGGGGGGGGAGTACCCTGAGGGTATTAGCAGAGGAAAGCACCAACACCAAAGAAACATCTAACACCCAGTACAGTATGTATAAATGTTCATATGGATTTTCCTTTACTAAAAACTGGTCAACATTTTAAAATTAAACATTTAAAAATAAACATTTTAAAATTAAAATTAACTTATTTTTGTAGCTGAGGTGAAACGTGTTGGAGATACCCTTCTAGGCATGGCCACACAGTGTGTCCAGGTAAAAAATGTGGTGAAGACCTCACCCCAAACCCTTTCCAACCTTTGCCTGAAGATAAATGCAAAACTGGGAGGAATTAACAACGTGCTTGTACCTCATCAAAGGTGAGATTCTGAAGCCTGTTTTCCCTAACTTTGTTTAGAATCTAACTTACAGCCAGGCACCAATGGCTCACACATGTAATCCTAGCTACTCAGGAGGCTGAGATCTGAGGATCACAGTTTGAAGCCAGCCAGAGCAGAAAAGTCCCTATGAGACTCTCATCTCCAATTAACCACTCAAAAACCAGGAGTGGAGCTATGGCTTAAGTGCTAGAGCACTAGTGTTGAGCACAGAGAAGCTCAGGGACAGTGCTTAGGCCTGAGTTCAAGCCCCACAACTGGCAAAAAAAAAAATCTAACTTATGTATAGTAACAAGCATATATAATTCAGCTGGGTATTATGTTGCACACCTCTAATCCCAATATTCAGAAGTCCAAGGCAGGAGACCTGGGAATTCAAGACCAGCCTTGAAAACACGGGGCCTGAGGGTGTAGCTCAACAGTATATCACTTGCCTAGCATGCATAATGCACAAGGCCCAAGACTGTAATCCCTAGCACTGAAAACGAACAAACTTAAAACCATACACATCTCAAATATGCATTTCAATTACTGTTTCTTACATATATATACATCCATATATATACCCATCAGCCAGTTATAATATGGAATATTTCTAGAACTTTGTCAGGCTTTCTATTATCCCTCCGACTAGATAACACCTGGGCTTGGGATGGTAGCTCAGTGAGAATAATTGCCTACCATACATAAATTTAGTCCTGAGTTTAGTCCCCAGCACTGCAAATCCCCAAAGACAACCAGTATTGTGACTTCTACCACTATAAATTAGTTTGGCCTATTTTTGACCTTTGCATAAATAGAATCATTCAGAATATACTATTTTATATATCTTATGTGTCTATATATTAGTTGTTGCATTTAATAGCAGCAGTTCCTTTAAAAAAAATGGCACTTGCTAAGCTGACATGTCCACTTCAACCATTCTTCTAGCCCTAGTAACTCATTCATTTTCATACTATGTAGTCTATATCATGTGAATAAACCACATTCATCTATCTATAAACCACTTTATCCTACCACAATATTCTAATTCGTTTATTGTATAATTTTGTATATCTGGTAAAAGTAAGCACTCTTTCTCTTCCCAGGTGATGAACCCACTTCCTTCATTCTTTAGAGCTGCTACTCAGGAGGCTGAGATCTGAGAATTACGGTTCAAAGACTGTGAGACTCTTATCTCTAATTAACCACCAGAAAACCGGAAGTGGTGCTGTGGCTCAAGTGATAGAGTGCTAGCCCTGAGCTGAAGAGCTGAGGGCCAGTGCCCAGGCCCGGAGTTCAAGTCCTATGACTGACAATACATACATACATACACACATACATATATACATACATACATACATAAAAATAACTGGAAGTGGGCTGGGAAGGTAGCTCAGTGGTAGAGTGCTTGCCTTGCATAGGTGAGACCCTGGGTTCAATTCCTCAGTACCACATAAGCAGAAAAAGCCAGAAGTGGCGCTGTGACTCAAGTGGTAGAGCACTAGCCTTAAGCTGAAGAGCTGAGGGACAGCGCCCAGGCCCAGAGTTCAAGCCCCATGACCAACAAAAACAAAACAAAACAAAAAAACAAACCTGGAAGTACATGGAATGGGGCTGTGAATTACAAAAGCCCTCCAGGAAAGTTTTGTCGGTTGGGGTGAACATCTTTCCAGTAACCAGGTAATCTTGGCACTCCTGTAGTTTTCAAATTAGGAGTAAAAAGAGAAGAGGAGGTGATAAACATAATAGGGAAGGGAATTTTGGATTCATGCTTGAGTTGAATGGTGAGTCCAAATCAATGTTTTCAATCCTTTGCAAACAGGTACTGGGATACTACAGGCTTCAGCGCCTGACCACTTATTAGTTGCATCCATCCTTGAACATACATACCAGAGATGGTTTAGAAATGTCACAACATCTTTCTGGACAATACAATATAAGAAAAGGAAACAACAACACACAGCCATGAAATTCATTGCCAGGAATATGAATCAAATTGGGATAAGAGCTGAGTGAACAGGTTGGACTGTTTGGAGTTGTTGTCATACTTTTTAATATGTATTTATAAAGTATTCCAGCAAAAGAAGATGCAGCCTCTGGGAAAAACCCAACATGTTACAGTATTTTTTATAGATTCTCATTCTATATCTCACAGTAGCAGCCAGCCCTGGTTTTAACCAGAAAGAATTCAGGATACACTTTATGCATCCTCAGTTGGATGCATATTCCTAAGTACTGTATTTGTTACCAAAAGTGGTTCTACAAATGCTACTTATAAAAGAATCTAGAGATTCCTAATGTCCTGATTATTAATATGCTTTTATATCAAAGGGGTATATCGTGACCAAAGTGTTTTAAGAAAAGCACAATTGTTTGAAAACAATTGTGGATTGTATTATAGATAGATCTTTTTGTCTGTCTTTTGTTTGTTTGTTTGTTTGTTTTGTCAGTCATGGGGCTTGAACTCCAGGTCTGGGTGCTGTCCCTGAGCTCTTCAGCTCAAGACTAGTGCTCTACCACTTGAGCCACAGTGCTACTTCTGGTTTTCTGGTGGTTAATTGAAGATAAGAGTCTCACAGACTTTCCTCTCCTGGTTGGTTTTGATCCTCCATCCTCTGATCTCATCATCCTGAGTAGGTAGGATTATAGGCATGTGCCAACAGTGCCCACAGCTTTTTGGCTGTCTTCTTTGGTGTTAGAAGAATATTATACCTTGGGTAGATAAACTGCTGTATGACTTGTGTAGGCTATGGACTTACCCTACATGGTTCCATTACTATGTATTAAGAACTGTGTGCTTTGGCTTCAGGATGTTTTTGCTTGTGGTGGGTGCAGCAGAAGTGGTTGATTTCCTCAGCTGTTGCTTCCAACCATGCTCCTGGATAGAGCTGATTCCTGTTCATATGTTGAATTTGGTAATAACAGATGTGAACATATGAACTATTGTTGCTCTAAATAGACGAGCATTATAAATATGAACTTACTTGTATGTTTTCTTCCAGACCTTATCAAGTAGAATATACAGTTTTATTATTCCAAGGAAAAGAGGGGGAAAGCTACTGACCCCTCACTCCTCTGAAGTGTTTCCAGAAAAGACAGCTAATGATGGATCTTGTCACCTACATAACTCTGTAAAAAGAAACAAAAACAAAAAACAGTGACATTGTTAATTCCCCAACAGAAACAATAGTAAAAAAGTAATACACAGGGCTGGGAATGTGGCTTAGTGGTAGAGTGCTTGCCTAGCAGGCATAAAGTCTGGGTTCGATTGCTCATTACCACAGAAAAAGCCAGAAGTGGTGCTGTGTAAGTTCTCGAATTATACCTGGCTGGCCTGGACCACAGTTCTCCTATTTTCATTTCCTAAATTGCTAGAAGCTATGCTCAACTTTTTTTTTTTTTTTTTGCCAGTCCTGGGGTTTAAACTCAGGGCTGGGTACTGTTCCTGAGCTTCTCTGTGCTCAAGGCTAGGACTCTACCACTTGAGCCACAGTGCCACTTTTTCTGTTTATGTGGTACGGAGGAATCGAACCCAGGGCTTCATGCATGCTAGGCAAACACTCTACCATTAAGCCACATTCCCAGCCCAATGCCCAGCTTTTTTGCTGGTTGAGATGTGGGTGGGGGGGGGGGGGGGTGTCTCATGAACATTTTTACCTTCAGGCTGGCTTTGAACCCCAATCTTGCCAATCTTCAAGTAGCTAAGATTACAGACATGACACATTATATCTGTAAAAAATAGAGATAATAGGGCTGGGAAGGTGGCTCAATGGTAGAGCGCTTGCCTTGCATGCCTGAGGCCCTGGGTTCCATTCCTCAGCACCACATAAGCAAAAAGAAAAAAGTGGGAAGTGGTGCTGTGGCTCAAGTGGTACAACGCTAGCCTTGAGCTGAAGAGCTGAGAGACAGTGCCCAGGCCCAGAGTTCAGGCCCCACGACCGGACCCAAAAAAAAAAAAAATAGAGATAATAATTTTACTACCCTCATAGAATTAAGATTCAATGAGTTAATATATGTAGGGGGTTAGCACTGTGGCTAGAATATTGTTATGTTATCCACATGAACAATGAATGTGTTTTTCTGCTGTTATCTGCTCTTTGCCAGGACTATTTTATGTGATGATAGAGTATATAGTAAATACATGCAATGTATCGTCAGTACTCATTACATAAAACTGTCAAAAGTTGGGCTGGGAAGTTGGCTCAGTGGTAGAGGGCTTGCCTTGCATGCCTGAGGCCCTGGGTTCCATTCCTCAGCACTACATAAGAAAAAAGCCGGAAGTGGCACTGTAGCTCAAGTGGTAGAGCGCTAGCCTTTAGCTGAAGAGCTGAGGGACAGCACCCAGGCCCAGAGTTCAGGCCCCACGACTGGACCCAAAAAAAAAAAAACAAAAAACTGTCAAGAGTTGAAATGCTTCCTGGATTATAGTTTAAGAGTAAAGTACTTGCAGTCTCAATTGCAATATTTAAGGATTTGTATGGTTTCTGGCACTCTATCACTTGAGTTGTACCTTCAGCCAAACATTTTGCTAATAGAGTCTCATGGATTTTTCTGCCTGGGCTGGTTTCAGATCCATCTTCCAGATCTCAGTCTCCCTGAATAGCTAGGATTATAGGTGAGCCACTGATGTCCAGCACTTCTTGTGTTTTTGTGGCAGCATCTTGCCTTTATAGCCCAGGCCTGGCCTCAGACTCACAGAACTGACTCAGCCTCCAGAACTACTGGAATTAAAGATTATACCAACATGCCCAACTTTTCTTTGGGGTGTGGGGGGAGAAGGGGCATGCGTGAGAGTCTGACTTTTACCAGAGAAGCACACATGATATTTTTCCCTCTTGATTTCTTCAATAGAGAAATTAATGCCAAATAAATAAATTCATTTTTCAATAAGTATTTATTGAATGCCACATATAAGCTAAGCATTATTTTAGGTACTGGGGATATAACAGTGACCAAGACAAAACAAAAGTCTTACCCTGTAGAAATTACATTTAGGTTTGTGTAGACAAAAAAACAAGCAAAGCCAGGTGCTGGTGGCTCAGGCCTGTAATTCTGGCTACTCAGGCGGCTGAGATCTGAGGATCGAGGTTCAAAGCCAGCCCGGGCAGGAAAGTCCATGAGACTCTTATCTCCCATAAACCACTAGAAAACCGGAAGTGGTGCTGTGGCTCAAGTGGTAGAGCGCTCGCTTTGAGCTGAAGAGCTGAAGGACAGCGCCCAGGCCCAGAGGTCAAGCCCCATGACCGACCAAAAAAAAAAACAAACCAAAATGTGTGGTGTGGTATAAATGATAAATACAGTGGAGAAAAATGAAATAAAAATATAGACTTGATTGTGTTTCCCAAGTCTCACATCTTAAAGAGTTTGGATTTGGATCCTTACTGTTCTCTCCCTTAGAGCACAAGGCCTCTCTCCTAAGATTAAACCTCTGATTATCAACCTCTGGTAGTAGAACTCTTCTAGGCCCAGATGTGTTACCTGAATGACTGAGTGGCATTGTCCCCTTCGATCCGAGCAGGCCCTCAGTGTTCCAGCAGCCTGTCATCTTCCTGGGAGCAGATGTTACACACCCTCCAGCAGGGGATGGGAAGAAGCCTTCCATTGCAGCTGTGGTGGGCAGCATGGATGGCCACCCCAGCCGGTACTGTGCCACAGTTCGGGTGCAGACATCCCGGCAGGAGATCTCCCAGGAGCTACTATATAGTCAGGAGGTCATCCAGGACCTGACTAACATGGTTCGAGAACTGCTGATCCAGTTCTACAAATCCACACGCTTCAAGCCCACTCGTATCATCTATTACCGGGGAGGAGTATCCGAAGGGCAAATGAAACAGGTACTGTCATTAGCTCAGTGTTGCCCTTTGGGACTTTCTGGAATCTGATGCAATTTCCTCTATCCATTCTTCAATAAAACAGATTCTAGGCACGTTATCAATGAAGCATAATTCCATTTCTGTCTCTTAGGTAGCTTGGCCTGAACTAATAGCAATTCGAAAGGCATGTATAAGTTTGGAAGAAGATTATCGGCCAGGAATAACATACATTGTGGTGCAAAAGAGACATCACACACGACTCTTCTGTGCAGATAAAACAGAAAGGGTAAGAAAACAATATAAGTTCCTGCAATGACAAATACAAATGATTTTGAGTAGATTTAAAGTCATGTTTTATAATCAGAGGTGCTTAATAATTAAATAAATATACTGACTATATTAAATAATAATTAAATAAATATACTGAACTTAGATGACAATTCTGAATGTTTTGTTTTTTGGTTTGGGGGGATTTTTTTTTTTTTGGCCAGTCATGGGGCTTGAACTCTGGGCCTGGGCGCTGTCCCTCAGCTCTTCAGCTCAAGGCTAATGCTCTACCACTTGAGCCACAGTGCCACTTCTGGCTTTTTCTGTTTATGTGGCGCTGAGGAATCAAACCCAGGGCCTCATGTACACAAGGCAAGCGCTCTACCACTGAGCTAATTTCCCAGTCCGGATTTTTTTTCTTTTACAATCCTGAAAGTTTTTTTTTTTTTTTTTTCCCATGCCAGTTCTGGGTCTTAAACTCACAGCTTGAGGACTCTTCCTAAGCTCGTTTTTTTTCCTTCTTTTTTGTCATTTTGTCGGTCATGAGTTCTGAACTCTGGGCCTGGGTGCTGTTCCTCAGATCTTCAGCTCAAGGCTAGCGCTCTACCACTTGAGCCACAGTGCCACTTCCAGCTTTTTTCTTTTTGCTTATGTGGTGCTGAGGAATGGAACCCAGGGCCTCAGGCATGCAAGGCAAGCACTCTACCAGTGAGCCACCTTCCCAACCCATGAGTACATTTCTTTTTGGATACTGTTACCCTTTCCTTGCTCTCTCTCTCTCATTTTTTTTCCTCCAGTCCCCATACCACTTCTGTCTTTTTGTTAGTTAATTGGAGATAAGAGTCTCAGGGACTAGCCAGGTGGCTGTGGCTCACACCTATAATCCTAGTTACTTAGGAGGCTGAGATCTGAGGATCACAGTTCAAAGCCAACCCAGGGAGGAAAGTACGTGAGACTCTTATCTCCAGTTAACCACCAGAAAACCAGAAGTGGCATTGTGGCTCAAGTGGTATAGCACTTGCCTTGAGCTGAAGAGCTGAGGGACAGTGCCCAGGCCGAGTTCAAGCCCATGATCAAACAACAACAACAAAAATAAAAAGAATGGATATTTCAGCCAGCACTGGTAGCTCATGCCTGCAATCCTAGCTACTCAGGAGGCTGAGATCTGTGTTGGAGTGCTAGCCTTGAACAGAGCAGAAAAGCTCAGAGACAGCACCCAGGCCCCGAGTTCAAGCCCCACCACAGAACGCCCCCCCAAAAAAAGAAGGATATCTCCTGTGTGATAGCTAGGTGGTTTCTAGAGTTTTTATTTTCATTGTTGTTGTTATTTGTTTTTGGGAGGAGGTATTGTGCTGATCCTAGGGCTTGAACTCAGAGCCTAGGTGCTATCCCTTAGATTTTTTGCTAAAGGCAAGTACTCTACCACTTGAGCTCTACTTCTGGCTTTTTTGGTAGTTAGATGGAGATAAGAGTCTCAATGATTTTCCTACCTGGGCTGGGTTTAGACCATGTTCTTCAGATCTCAGTTTCTTGAGTAGCTAGGATTACAGGCATGACCCACCAACACCCAGCTAGAGGGTATGTTTTTGTTTTTGTTTTTTAAAATAATTGATCAGAAATGTCAAGTACATTACAATGACACAAGCAATTACGAGGGATGTGTCTGTGGGTCTTTGTGGATCTATATGTTGCTGGAGATCAAACTTATGACCTCATATAACCCATTTGCTCAGCTTTACTGCCAATACCTGATCTGTAATTTTAGCATATAAAGAAGAATTTCCTAAAAAGAAGAATTTTCTCCAAAAATATTTTAAATAGGTATGGGGAGTCCTATAATACAAACTCTGAATTATTATGATGTCATACAAATTAACAACAGGCTCTGTGGCCTGAATTTATCTTTTTTATTTTTACCCCCTCAGTGCCAGGGATGGAACCCAGGACCTTTCAAATGTTAGGCAAGCATTCTATCACTGAGCTATATCGCCTGCCCCTGAATTACTAAAATTACTAAAATCCAAAACTATACCACCATTCTGTTCTTTAATGTCTAATGTAATCTTTCATAGTTGACAGTGCCAAGAAACACATCAATGGCTCATACATGTAATCCTAGCTACTAGGAAGCCTATGATTGGGATGATTGAAGTTAGAGGCCAGTTAAGGCCTCTAACCTAAGTCTGTGAAACAAACTCTTCAACAAAAATCTGGGTACAGTGGTGCTTACCTATTATCTTAGATGTGACAGCACACTGTCAGTGAGTTGTGGCTCTGGCATGCTCCAGGGTAGAAAGCAAAACCATACCTCAAAAATAACTAACATAGCTAGGGGGCTGGTGGCTCATGCTTGTAATCTTAATTACTTAAGAGGCTGAAATCTGGGGCTGGGAAGGTGGCTTAGTGATAGAGTACTTGCCTTACAAGCATGAGGCCCTAGGTTCAATTCCTCAGCACCACATAAGCACAAAAGTCAGAAGTGGCATGGCACTGTGGCTCAAGTGGTAGAGTGCTAGCCTTGAGCTGAAGAGCTGAGGGACAGTGCCCAGGCCTAGAGTTCAGGCCCCACGACCAACAAAAAAAAAAAAGAGAGAGAGAGAGACTGAGATCTAAGGATCATAATTCAAAGCTAGCCCAGGCCAGAAAGTCTGTGCGACTTATCTCCAATTAACGACCAGCAAACCAGAAGTGGCACTGTGACTCAAAGTGGTAAAGTGCTAGCCTTGAGCGAAAAAGCTTTAGGAACAGCACCCAGCCCCATGCATGACTGACAAAAATATAAAAATAAAAATAACCAACATAAAACAGGGATGAAGATATGGCTCAATAGAGTTCTTGCCTTGTAAGTGTAAGGTCCTGAGTTCAAACTTCAGCACTACTTAAAAAAAAATCTGAGGCCCCAGTATTTGGTTTATTTTGTACCCTTTTTTTTTTATCCTGGATTCTTATCAACATCTCCAGCTCTCTGATCATGCCTTCAGTTTTGAGTCAGTCCACATGCCTATTTCCTTTGCTTCTGTTCTCAAGGTGGTAGGAGTTGCTGTGGGGAATGAATCATTTGTTCATCAGATTGGAGGTGCACATCTTTAATCCCATCTAACTCAGCAGATGAGTAGAGGAGATACCATGAATTTTCTCAACCATATTTCCTCTGCTTTCAAACTTCGTTCAGTTTTTAGCTTTCTTATCTTCTTCCTCATCTCCTTCATATTTTAGGCTAATCTCTCCATCTATGCCTTTTTTTTCATTACTGGGGATTGAATACAGGGCCTCAGCTTACAAGGCAGACATTCTACCACTTTAGCTGCATCTTCAGCCCCTTTTTGCTTGGCTATTCCTGAGATGGGGTCCAGCTTTTTCCTGGGCCAGCCTGGCTGCAGTTTCTGCTTGCGCTTTCTTGTGTCACTGGGAATATCAGGCTTAGGCCACTAGACCCAGCCCATTGACTGAGATGGGGTTTCAAGAACTTCTGTTTTCACCTGATTGGCCTCAAATCACAATCACTGATCTCCACCTCCCAAGTAGGTAGGATTACAGGCTGAGCCACATACTTAGCTCCCGCCTATGCTCTTGACTAATTATTTCTGCCTTCTTGAGAGTTTCACTTTATTAATGACCCAGTTTTCAAATTTAGTCTTTCTCATTCTTTGACTGTAGAGTTGCTCAAATCTTCCTTAATTTTGCCAATAAATACCCCTTCACTCCGCCTCTCCATCAGTCTACCTACAACCTTGTGTTTTGTTTGTTTCATGACTTTAACTTGAGAAAAAATCATCAGTTGACTTTCTCTTGGTACTTTTTTTTTGGTCGGTCAAGGGCTTGAACTCTGGGCTTGGGCGCTGTGCTCTTCAGCTCAAGGTGAGCTTTCTACCGCTTGAGCTACAGTGCCACTTCTGGTTTTCTAGTGGTTTATTGGAGATGAGTCTCATGGACTTTCCTGCCCTGGCTGGCTTTGAACCTCGATCCTCAGATCTCGGCCTCCTGAGTAGCTAGGATTACAGGCGTGAGCCACCAGCACCCGGCTTTCTCTTGATACTTTCTTAGTCATACTTTCATTCCATAGACTGACATCAATTTCAGGAAGTCAGAACTTCAAGAGAGAAATAAAGCTGTTCCTTTAATATCTTGCTCATCTCTGATGGGTCAGATTCCTCCACTAACCTCTTTGTAACACTTAAGACAATATTGCCGAGCTCCAGTGGCGCAATCGGTTAGCGCGCAGTACTTATAAGACAATATTGCTTTCTTTGTCTTGATATGACTTTCCAGCTACACTGCCCACATCTACAATCAGACTTTATTTGACTTTTCTGCCTCCTGTTGTCTAATATCCACTCACGTTTCCTAGTGCTATCTAGTTCTTCCTCAATTTTAACTTTTTCTCTAACTTCAATTCTTTCTCATCCACTCTTCTGACCTCATTTATTTTCATACTAGCTCCTAAATATGTATTTCTTTAGCTCCAAACAGCTCTATGCAGCTCCTGATCTGAACTTTCAAGGATCTACCAGATACACTTACTTACTTACATTCTGCCCTTACTACCTAGTGTCACTAACCTTTAAAGGTTGACAGGGTCAGCTCTTGGTTACTTTGTACCCTTGTCCCTTAAAAACATCTTCAGTTCTCTAAATCTGCCTCTTGCCAGTTCCAGTCACCTATGTCCTTTCCTTCTACTCTTGACATGATAGGAGTGGGGGATGCACTGTATCAGACACTGCTCAGACTTGTAGTGATAACTATAAAAAAAAATCTTGGTGGCTTACAAAGGTCTTCCCTCTCCCCTTCTCTCTTTTTTTTCTCCAAGACCAGGATTCCAACTTAGTATCTGATGCTTTTGCTCTTTGGTTGGCGCTCTACCATTGGAGCCACACCTCCAACCCCACAAAGGTTTATTTCTTGTTCACATTTACATTGGCTCTGTCACAGCTGTGACTTTGCCATCCTCCCTTTGGAACCTAGGTTTACAGAGATGTGTCTATCTGGAACATTGCCAGTTATTGTGGCAGAAGAGAAAGAAGATACATGACAAGCCAGTGCTGGCTCTTAAAGCTTCAGCCCAGAAGTAACACATTTCACACCACATTTTATCAGCCAAAGCAGGTCACATGGCCACTCCTAAAACAGTTGGATGAGGATGTCTAATCCTCTCCCAGGGAGGGGCATGGGAATACTTGGCTCTAGTGACATAATCTACCACAGGCATGCAAGCAAAACATGTCTGAACCGTCCTCTGATTGTTTTATCCTCATCCAAAACCTATTTCTACCCAATTTTCTTTTTGTTACCTGGCATCATTATCTGTGTTATGGCAAACAAATTGGAAACTTTGGAGTTGTCTTTAAATTCTTCTCCTTCCTTCTTGTCTCCTAACACAGTTGGTCCAGATCTGTCTTGAAATCCCTCTGGTTGTTTTTTGTTTGTTTGTTTGTTTTGTTTGTTTGTTCATTTTCTGGTCATGGGACTTGAACTTTGGGCCTGGGCGCTGTCTCTCAGCTCTTTAGCTCAAGGCTAGCACTCTACCACTTGAGCCACAGTACCACAGTTTTCTGGTGGTTTATTGGAGATAAGAGTCTCATGGACTTTGGTGCCCAAACTGGTTTTGAACTGTGATCCTCAGATCTCAGCCTCCTGAGTGGCTAGGATTACAGGCATGAGCCACCAGTGCCCGGCTCCCTCTGGTTTTAAGTTTTCTTCTTGTGTGTTCCTCCTTCCCTAAGCAGAATTCTTCTGTATGCAGGAACTCCTAGCCACCTCCCTGTTACCATTCCTCCTTCTCCATTGTATTTAGCCACCCTGCTGTCAGGAATAGGCTTTTAAAATACTCTCCACTGCTCAGAAATATTTAACCCCTCCTCCCCACACACACATATACACTGCTCACCACACACTTTCCTTTGCTCTTCAGTGTTTTCAGATTAGAACTAAAGGAGCATTTTTATTTCCTCATTTACATGACCTCCTCTCTCCCCTATTTCCAACATACACTGTACTCTTTTCTTGTATGTGTGCTGGTCCTGGGGCTTGAATTTAGAGTCTGGGCACTGTCTGAGCTTTTTGGCTCAAGGCTAGGACTCTACCACTCAAGCCAAAGCTCTACTTCCAGCTTTTTGCTGTTTAATTGGAGATAAGTCTCACAGATTGTCCTGCTCAGTCTGACCTCAAACTATAATCCTCAGATCTCAGCTTCAGTACCTGCAAATCTAGGTCACCAGCACCTAGCCACTGTGTACTCTAACCTGGGAATGACCACATACATCCCACTCCTTCTTACCAGTATTTTTTTTTCCGGCCAGTCCTGGGGCTTGAACTCTGGGCCTGGCTTCTGTCCCTGAGCTCTTCAACTCAAGGCAAGCTCTATACCACTTGAGCCACAATGCCATTTCTAGCTTTTTCTGTGATTAATTGAAGATAAGAGTCTCACTGACTTTCCTGCCTAGCCTGGCCTTGAACCATGATCTCAGATCTCAGCCTCCTGAGTAGCTAGGATTACAGGTGTGAGCCACTGGCACCTGGCCTTACCAGTACTTTTATTGAGGTCTAATGTAAGTACAGTAAAATTCACTTGTTTTAGAGTATATATAGTAATATTTTTGTACCCTGGTTAACCACAGATAACACACTGTGGAAAGTAAAACCTGGGATAAAAGGGGACTATGGTAACTCAATTGTACATCCTATGGTCCAGCTACTAGTTAAGTTTATGAATTTGATGGAACGATTTTTTTCTATACTCAGAGTTACTGATACACATTGTTGTATGTTCTTTAGCTGAAGGTAACAGTGGTTAGAATGGAGCCAAATAACTTCCATCCAAATTTATACCTATGAGCTGAATAAACTTTCTCATATTGAACTCCGCTGTGCAACAGAAGAGAGTGACCAACTAGCAAGATTTAATTAAATTCTGTTCCTGGTAAACACATTTCTCCTCTCCACCTTCCTGGAACTTTGATTTCAATGTTTTGAAGAGTCTTAGGATTTTAGAAGTACAAGAGATCTTTACCTAATTTTATAGATGATAAGATTAAAGCACAAAGGTATTCTATTCTAAGTCATGTTAGTTGTGAGGGTAGGCCTAGATCTGAAAATGCTTTTTTTTTTTTCTGATTGGTTGTGGGGCTTGAACTCAGGGCCTAGACACTGTCCCTTGGCTTTTTCACTCAAGATTATCACTCTACCACTTTGAGTCACAGCACCACTTCCAGTTTTCTGGTATTTAATTATAGATAAGAGTTTCATGGTCATTCCTTCCTCAGCTAACTTCGAACCATGATCTTTAGATCTCAGCCTCCTGTGTAGCTAGGATTATAAGCATGAGCCACCAGTGCCCAGCTGCTGCTGCTGCTTCCCCTCCTTCCTCCTCATCCTACTTATTCCTGTTCCTCCCCCCTCCTCTTCCTCCTCCTCCTTCTTCTTCTTTTTTTTTTTTTTTTGCTGGTCCTGAGGCTTGAACTCTGGGTCTAGGCACTATCCTTGAGCTTCTTTGGCTCAAGGCTAGTGCTCTATCACTTGAGCCACAACACCACTTTCTACTTTTTCTGAGTAGTTTTATTGGAGATAAGAGTCTCACGGATTTTCCTGCCGAGGTTGGCTTTGAACCACAATCCTCAGATCTCAGCCTCCTGAGTAGCTAGTATTACAAAGCCACCAGTACCTGACTGAAAATGCTTTCTTAATCACCATTTCAGGGCTCATTTCCTAATGCTCATTTGCAAATGGCTTAGTTTATTGATCACAAAAAAGTTCTAGTTTTTAACTGGATGCCAGTGGCTCATGCCTATGATCCTAGACACTTAGGAGGCTGGGACCTAGAGGCTTATCATTTGAAGCTGTCTGAGCAGAAACATCTATGAGACTCTGTCTCCAAAATAATAAGCAAGAAGTGGTGCTGTGGCTCAAGTGGTAGAGCACTAGCCTTGAGCTAACGAGCTGAAGGACAGCACCCAGGTCCAGAGTTCAAGCCCCAAAACCGACAAAAAAAAAAAAAAAAGCAAAAAGCTAGGCTAGTGATGTGGCTCCAGGTTCCAGTATTGCTGAGCAAGTGTTTGGCCTTGAGTTTCAAACTGTAGTACAAGAAGAAAAAATACTTTACTGAATCTACTGGATCACTTCAAAGATACATTCACTAACTTTTTCTCAAAGCAGTAAAGCTGATTTTTAGGAAGATTATCAAGTTTAAGGTGTGTGTGTGTGTGTGTGTGTGTGTGTGTGTGTGTGTGTGTGTGTGTGTGTGTGTCTGTGTGTGTGTTTGTGTGTGTGTGTGTGTGTGTGTGTGTGTGTGTGTGTGTGTGTGTAGCTATACCACTGAGCTATACCCCCAGCCCTTAAATCTCCAAGACTATTTGTTTGAGAAAATACTTTAGGATGAGATGGAAAGGTTACAAGGGGAATCAACATTTTGTATTTAACTAACTATTTTCAAGACTTCCTTTAAGAACAGTTTATCAACTTGTTACCAATATATCAAAGAAAAAGCACCCTGCACACAGCCAAACACAATAATTACATTTTTTTTTAACAGGTTGGGAAAAGTGGCAACGTCCCAGCAGGCACTACAGTGGACAGTACCATCACACATCCATCAGAGTTTGACTTTTACCTCTGTAGTCATGCAGGCATTCAGGTAATTTGGAAGCTTGTTCAGATCTTTGACCTGATAGGGAGGTATTTGCAAAGTCAGCAACTAGCTTGAGTATACTTGTTATTAAATCCTATGCTTAACTTCGTTAGTTCTTTTTTTTTTTAACTTTGTTAGTTCTTATATCCCAAAACTAATACCTTTTTGGTTTAGTTATCTACTTGTAGGTATGCTAGATAGAACTACTTCTGAGTTTGAGGATTAGGTCTGAATTCTCTCATGCTAGGTTGTCACCATGTTAGAAATGTATTCATTCTAAAACTCTCTCTCCAGGGAACCAGCCGTCCTTCACATTATCAGGTCTTGTGGGATGACAACTGCTTCACTGCAGATGAACTCCAGCTCCTGACCTACCAGCTGTGCCACACTTATGTAAGGTGCACACGATCAGTCTCTATTCCAGCCCCTGCATATTATGCCCGGCTTGTGGCATTTAGAGCAAGGTATCATCTGGTGGATAAAGATCATGACAGGCAAGTTTCTCAGGCACAATAAAATATATCTCTATTTTAGAAGAATGTGGGTTTTTTTTGTTTTTATTTTTTTAGGGGAGGAGGTGGAGTTCTTAATGTACTACTACGGAAAATTCTTTAAAGTCTTAAACTTTCTTTTAGGGTTTAAATGGCAGGGAACAAGTTAAAAAGCTTTGAGAGTTTATAATTTGACTTTTGATCCAAGAAGGGCTCAAGCTTGTTTATACTTGTATTGTGTCTCTAAAAGAGACTTAGAGCTGCCTGAGGTTTTTCCACAAAAGCTAGGTACATTTTAGTTCTGCTCAGATCCTGTGTAGCCTCAAAAGGAGGCCAGCTATGTAGCTACTCAGGAAGCTGAGATCTGAAGATTGGGATTCAAAGCCAGCTCAGACAGGAAAGTTCTTGAAACTCATATCTCCAATTAATCACCAAAAAGCCATAAGTAAAGGTGTCGCTCAAGTGGCAGAGCACTAGTCTTAAGCAAAAAACAAACACACACAAAAAAACACCTCACGGACAGTACCCAGGCCCTGAGTTCAAGCTCCATGATAGACCACCCCACCCCCCCTCAAAAAGCAAGCATAGTGTCCTTGGCTCCAGTCAGTATATCACAGGCCTGGTGGGTTCCATTCTTACAAGGGGAAGTCCTGAAGTATCTTGCTTTCAGTATAATCCAGGAGGATCCTCTAGAGTAAACGTGAGTGTATGTGGGAGGGAGGGAGGCCAGATCATTTGCACCAAATAGAGATCTCAAGAGAATCAGACATTTTGACCAGTTATTGAGCTACCATTAAATAGCTAAACAACTCCTTGCATTAGTTTTCTTTTCCAAATGAACATCTGTGAAGCGTAGCAGTTTCTGGGCTCTTCCCCAAGTCTGTACTCAGCTGCTAAATAGTAGACATTCCGCTACAAGTCTATTTCTGTAAGGGTTTGAAAAGACACTATTAAGAAAAATATCCAGTTGTGGCTTTGTCCCTTTCATTCCATACTATACATTCACTCATTTAACATGTTTATTGGGTACTGACTGTGTGTGGAGTACTGAGCAAGATGCTAGAAAATACCAAGATCAGTAATGTTGGTTGTTTCTTGCCCTGGGGATTTAATGTTTCAGTATGGAGGCAATACAGGCAAATATGAAATGACAACATCAGTAGAGATGAAAGTGCAGTGGAATACTGAAGAAAAAGCTGAGCTCTTTAGAGATTTTATAGCTTGATGGTAGGATTTGACTCCACAAAGAAAAGAGGATTTTCAGGCAGAGAGAACATGAATATAAAGGAGAGAAAGCTAGTGACATGTTTGGACAATAGCAAGTTTTCTTTGGCTGGAACATCCCAAAAGGAAACAGCAGGCTTGGGGCTGGAAAGTTTGTTAGAGTGAGATTGTTTTAGCTAAATGGAAAAAAAAAAAAAAAAGCTATTCCTGGGATGGAATTGACAAGGCTTAACAGTTAGTTGAATATGAGTAGAAGAGGAGAGGAGGAAATTTTTTTAAAAGACTAATTTCTGATCCTCGATCAGAAGAATAATAAGCATCATTTTAAGAGGAAATCAGTGGGCCAAGGATATAACTTAGTAATCAAACACAGGCTTAACATGCCTGAGGCCCTGGCATACAAAAAATAAATAATAAAGGTTAAAAGAGAGAGGGTGATTTACAGTTTTCCACACTTCTTTGCCATCCAGAAGAGAGAGGTTCAGAATTTATTATCCCAAAATACCAAAGTTGAGAGGAATCATGACTTACCTAAGGTTTTGTAGTTTCTAGGGAGAAAGCAAGAAGAGACTGTGGCTCAGTAACATTCTTGAGTGTCTAGTATGCTCTAGCACTGTGCTTTGCTCATCGACACTATATTATGTGCTAAGCACTAGGGATTCAGTTATGAGTACGCGCAAAGTTGCTGCTCTCTTCATATTTACCTTCCAGTGGAAAAATAAGTAATCACCCGATTAGTAAGTTCATTTGTGTTTGTTCTCTGAGAGAAAAATATGATATAGTCTGTGAAAGCATGTTCCAAGTGACACTGATCTGGAGTTTAGAGTCAGGAAAATTTTTAAGGGAAAAATGACATTTAACAAATCTAAAGGAGGGCTGGAAAGGTAGCTCAGTGGTAGAGTGCTTGTCTTGCATGCCTGAGGTCCTGGGTTCGATTCCTCAGCACCACGTAAGCAAAAAGAAAAAAGCCGGAAGTGGCGCTGTGGCTCAAGTGGTAGAGCGCTAGCCTTTAGCTGAAGAGCTAAGGGGCAGCACCCAGGCCCAGAGTTCAGGCCCCACGACCGGACTCCAAAACAAAACAAAAACAAAAACAAAAACAAAAATCTAAAGGATGAGTAGGCATTAACCAGACATAAAAGGCAGCAGAAATCTTTCTATAGGTATTACAAAGGATTTGGGTCTTAGCACACACTGTTTTATTGAATTATTGTAACTATCCATTAAATAAGCTATATTTCATTTGTCAGTTGCACAAACATATTTAGAAAGACAAAAGTAATTTGAGGAGTTCAGCTTGAGCCTAAAATCTTCTTGAATCCAATACTGTTTGTGCTGTTTGAAACATGTGATGTTTAAAAGATCTTTTCTTACACCTAGTTTTCTTGCTTCATTCTCTTTCCAGCGCGGAAGGCAGTCATGTGTCAGGACAGAGCAATGGCCGGGATCCTCAAGCCTTAGCCAAGGCAGTACAGATCCATCATGATACCCAACATACCATGTATTTTGCCTAAGAGTCTCAGAAAAAGAACTCAGCTAGTTTGGCACCCCTTACAGCCTCAAAATGTTTCAAGTGACTACCGCCTCTTGCTAGACCCAAGTTGACTTCAGGTGGTCTTCTACCAGCAGCTCAGAATAGTTGCACTGAATCTATATTTGCAGCATTGTCTGATGCATCAACAAAATTGAGCCATTTTTCTAAAATAATAGATACTCAGATTATCTTTTCTGATGATGCACTGGACTGAATTTTTACCTCAATGTGCAAAGGCTGATCAGCCTGAACTTTCTAAAGGACTTTACAAGAAAGGTTTCTATGGAATATTTTGCTATTCACTGCATCCCTCTAGTCTTAGAAGAGAAGAGTATTCTTTCTTTTTTTTCCCCTGTATTCATTCAGTAGGGTATATACATAGGTGGAGATAAAAAATAATCTGCTTCATTTCAGTGTAACTAATTGAGTGGGCTCACAAACTTTTTAATGGAGATTTCTGACTTTGTCACTGTAAATGCCTTTAATGAGCATTAATTTTTGGAAATTTTACAGAGTTTTATTACTTTATCTTACTGATCTCTGCAGACTTGTGCTGGTGTCAGTACAGGCTGCCAGAGGATTGCACTATACTTGGCTGCAGATTCAAACAGGCAGTTCTCTTATTTGATTGACTTTCATGAATGAGTGACATAGGACAATGTAATGCATGTCATAGTGACAGATAACACTGCCACGGTAAAAGTACTCATGTTTTTCCCTATTTGAAAAAACAAAAACAACTTAGCGTTTAGTATTTTTTCCAAATTTTCAAAAGTGCCCATTTTATGCTGCTGTGTGGTTTGTTAGATCTAAATGGTTTTTAAACTTTTCTCATAGAGTTAACTTTGGCAATAAGCATTTTTTTAAGGTCCCTCTTTTTCCTTCCCCTAGTGATGTAGGTTTTTTCTAGATGAGATTTCAGTATGATTTTATCAACTATTTCTTATGTATCATAATCTGGCAACTTCTGAAACTGGTCAGAAAAGACATATACTTCCATGCCTTTTTAAGGACTTGTTTTTTAATCTACTTTATAGTCATAACTGGTGTCCTGTCACTTTGTTTTAAAATAAGCTAGAGCCAGGATGCTTTCTTATTGGATAGTTTGTGCCACTCCATAGGGCACATTGAGTGATGCTGCACTTGCAAAAATGTACCAGCATTAAAAAAAAAAAAAAAAGAAAAAAGAAAAAAAAGGTTTCCCTCTGGGATTCAAAGTTACAGTTACTTGCTGTGCAATTTTTTTTCTCTATCTATACTTGGTGGGTTTTCCTTCCGTACTAAAACTGTTTAGAAGAGGTTTCACAGGGAGACAAGATTCCTTTCTTGTCTAAACAAAGGAAGTTGTTGGAAAGCAAGCATCAGTTAAAATGTATAGGGAAAATGTATTTTGTATTTAATGTAGATAATACTTTGTAATGGACAACAGTTACATAGTTTAGGTAGGTCCAGCCAGTGTTTCCCAACCCACAACTTGCTGACTTGTTCTCCATCCTGGACCAACAGAGTGAGAGATAAAGGGTCCTGGAGCCACACTCCAAATGGCCGGAGAAGGTACTGGATGAAGAGACAGACAAGATGTGGTCAGAACAAAGCAAAACCACCAACAACTTTGTTGCCTCTGTCTGGAACCTGCTGGTGGGAAACACTGAATGAGGTGGTGAAGGGTGGTTTTTTTTGTTTTTGTTTTAAACTCATTAGTTGATCCAAAAGTCTTATATTAGCCTTCTCAAAATCCCAGCAATATAACAAATATAACACACTGTTCTTCTTCAATCTTTAAGCAATCTTGTAAATACATTGAAGTTTACATTTCCATGTGCTGTTGCTCAGCGGCACCACCCGTGTTTGCTGAGACTGGTCTCTAAGAGTTTTATAATGTCTATGGAGTTGTGTAGCTCATTACCATGAGTGGGAAGAAAGCAAGTTCTGTGACTGAAGCACAACATAGGCAGGAGTGAAGAGGTGGCAAATGTTAACTACTTATTTTTTTTATTTTTGCAAATACCTCACTTGGATAGTACAAATCAGGACATGTTGGTGAGGGGCTGGCTGCTGCTTTTATTCATATTTGTTCAGGGAGAGCAAAGAAAATATCCTTCAGCATGGCCACTTTGGACCCAAGAGGAGGAAAACCAGCTTTTTAAGAGAACGAGGACTCTTTAAAGTCCAACATGTGAAGAACTCTTGGAGGTTGGCTGGCTGGCCAGCAAATGGGCACCACACCAGCACTTGAGTGCCTCGGGCTTGCTTGTTAATAATGCACAGAAGACGCTCTCACCATCTCCTGGCATCTATGAAGCAGGGAGCAAGGTTGAGTGCTGGGAAGCCCTGATCCACTTGACTGCAGTTGGGCTGTACACTCAACCTTGAAATGCTATAGTTTATAAGACCCCTGTCAGTCATAGTATGTTGGGGCCAATCAGTATGGTGGTAGAGGGAAAGCTGGAAGGCCTATTTTTATAGGAAAATGGTAACTCTTAAGGGTACAATGCTGTTGTTTCTAACGCAAAGAAAGGAAGACAGAAGTTAAGATTATTTGAGAAATCCTGTTGAGGGGGTGAATCTTTAAGAAGTAATCACTGCAGTATCAGAGTTGCAGCAATATTTTTGCAAGCAAGTCTGAATGCATAGTCTTAATTGGGTTTGACAATGGAATAGGTTAACCCTCCCCCTCAATACTGGCTGAATCGTCTGCATGTGTCAATCAATGGGAGGTGTGCATTCTCTAGAAGTAGTGTTAGGCTGTTTGGTTTTTTTAAATCAGCCTGTTTAGGCACTGTTATGTGGTATGAAAGATTTTAATGTAGCAATGCTAAAGAGGTAACAATTTGGGGGTAAAGGAGCTGGACATTAAGAGTGGTAAAAACTCAGACATTGAACCAGTTGTTTTGTGTTATTGTTGTTAGCTGTTGACTCCTGAGCAGCTTCTGTAGGGAACCAGCTGGCTTAATGCAGCCAGCATTCTGGGCAGGCAGAACATATTACTGTAAATTCTATTTGCTGCTTCCAAAGGTGATGATTTACAAGCAGACATTTTCTATATGGTCTGTATTTTAGGATCTGGTGCCCAGCCTATATCAGAGCTTACCTACCTGGCTCACTACCTACCCTCACCCATGGGAAAAGGTAACCTGCTGTTTAACAAGGCTCACCTTCTCCAGCCTGCCTAGCAACTCTTTGTGGATATTCTATAAGATTTTCTTGCTCAATAGCAAGGTGGTAACTCTGCTTTCATTTTAAGAAAGTGGAGGCCTAGGGCATTGTATCAATACTGCTTCAACTCTAAGAATTTTTCCTTGTAAAACCAAAGGAAAAAATCTTATTGGTTGACTATTTTCTTATCCCTTGCTATTGATCTATTCATACTCTTTCTATGTCTAGTGGCTGAAATTGTTTGCATTTGTTGATTTGACTAATGGTGTGATTTTTGTTTCTATATTGTTAGACTTGTAATGTTTTAAAATGTATTTTATTAAATTTGGACTGGATGTATGTTTATAGCAATACGAGGTACTTTCTAAGCTATTAAGGGAGGGGTTGTATCTCCATGTTGAGATAAGATAATGGTTGTTTAATTTTGTAATTTTTTTTTTTTTGGCCTGCAGGGATACTTTGCGTTCATGTGTCTAAAAAAAAAAGAATAAATTGGCATTCTTATGCCAAAAGTTGTTTTTCTTGTCAGTTGTCTAATGGATATGGAGCACACCATAACAATATCACACATAGCTGCTTTTTAAAATATGATTTACTCAACTTGAAAAATTTGACAAAAAAGAAAAGTGGGAAAACTTTGTGACTTTTTAACTTCTAGGTCTCTTATTTTTAGGAAGTGTCATTTGGGAATTTTAGAAGAACTTTTCAGTAACATTTAACATATGAAAAGATTCATTGGGGTTTTGGATATAGCCCTTAATGAGAAGACCTATTTATGTGATGTCTTAAGAAAAATCTAGTCCCAAGAGAGCAGTGTGGCATGAATACTTATATTTACTAAAACTACATTCTCCAGAGGAAAAGCTGCCTAGATTGACCTAACCTGGGAATCTAGTCTCATGTTTGTCTGTCTGTCTGTCTGTCTATCTATCTATCTATCTATCTGAACAGTCTTGTTATATAGGCCAAGCTGGCCTCAAACTTACAATACTCCAGACTTAGCCTCATGAGTGCTGGGATTACCGATGTGTGCCACCAAATTCTGCTCATGGTTTGGGGTTGTTGGTTTGGGGAATTTTCTCCTTTTTTTGCATTTGCTTTTTTTTTCTCTGAATTTTCAAAAAATAAAATTTGTTTGTTTAAATTATGGAAAGGACATTACAGAGGTTTGTCCAATGTAGCCCTTATTCTCAAGGAATTTATCCTTATCAGAGGAGAAAGTCTTGTATATAACTAACTCACCTAGAAGGTAGCTTTTTGTTTTTATTTTCCATCAGCTCAATAGCTCCTCCATGTTTATTCATTATCAAGTGTCACAAACAGTACAGGCCAAACTCCACTGATTACCCAGGTACCCAGAATTTTACTCAGAATTGTAAGTAATTTTCAGAGGTTCTAGCATGTCATGAGGTAGAAGAAAAGGCTGTGGGATTAATATTATCTAAGAACCTAATATATGTCACACTGACATGGTGTTTTTTGGCATTACTGGAATTTGAACTCAAGGTCTTGAGTTTGCTAGGGAAGCCCTCTACTTTGCCAAAGCCTCAGCCCTTTTTTGTGCTGGTTAGTTTTTAGATAGGGTCTTGCTTCCTGCCCAAACATGTTCCTGACAGCAATTGTATCTTTCACTTCCCACCATAGCTGGGATGACAGACATGCAACACTATGTTTAACTTCTGTTGAGATGGAGTCTTGCAGACTTTTCTGCCTAGGCTGGCCTAAGCCTTGATCCTCCCAAGTAGCTAGGATTACAGATATGAACCACCAGCACCTGGTATTGGCAACTTTAATCCCAGAAACAGCCCTTTGAGGTTATAGTAGCATCCCCATTATAAAGATAAAATGTCATACTTAAGTTCTAGCTCAGTTGTTTATCATGTGCTCTGGGTTCAATCCCAAGCATGAAAAAAAAAAGATAAGGAGTCAGTTAATTAATTTCAAAGAGGTTAAACATAATTAGTGACAAAATTTAATTTGAATCCAAGCCTGTTAACTTTATTAAGCCTGCATTGAGTATAATATGTCAGAAGACTTTCACAAACTTTAGAAGGGAAACAACTTTTGCCATGGAAAGTCTGAAAAGATTTCAGTGTTGGTGAATGTACACAAGCAGGAGGTTGCTAGTTGGACAAGGAGACTCTACACACTGTTACTTTACCGTGGATTATTGAAGCTACAATTTTTTTGGGAGGTCTGGTTGTGGGGCCTGAACTCTGGGCCTGGGTACTGTCCCTCAGCTCTTCAGCTCAAGGCTAGTGCTCTACGACTTGAGCCACACCGCCACTTCTGGCTTTTTTCTTTTTGCTTATGTGGTGCTGAGGAATGGAACCCAGGGCCTCAGGCATGCAAGGCAAGCGCTCTACCACTGAGCCACTTTCCCAGCCCCTGAAGCTACAGTTTTTATCTATACAAATGGTTCCTATACAGCTTTGGGAGATAGAATCTCTCTTTTTTAGGGAATCCCATTATTTTGGGTGAATCAAATGAAAAGAGTCTAAATGGCCTTCTACCCAAATCACCCATGTGTCAGACTAATGCCCATCCTTAAATTACTGCCAGGGAGGAAGAAGAGTGTCACACCATTCAGCAGTAATGGCTCACCTGTTCGGAGGGTAGCCAGTAAGAAGAGGAGTGATGGACTAACCAGCACAATTACAAGGCATGTGCCTCTTCTGTCTCTTGGCTCTGATTTCTTGTGTTGACTTCATTCTCCAAAAGCTTGAAACAAGTCTTTTAGGAAAAGAGGGACAAAATCTGTAGGGGATGGGTAGAAGGAAAAAAGCCCAAGCGAGCTAGGAATGTGGCTTAGTGGTAAAGTGCTTGGCTAGCATACATGAAGCCCTGGATTTGATTCCTCAGTACCACATAAAGAGAAAGCTGGAAGTGGCACTGTGACTCAAGTGGTAGAGTGCTAGCCTTGAGCACAAGAAGCTCAGGGACAGAGCTCAGGTCCCAAGTTTATGCCCCAGGACTGGCCAAAAAAAACAAAAAACAAAAAAACAAAAAACCTAAGCAATGATAGTACAGTTTGATTACAAAAAGGAAGAGAGAATGAACATGGCTAACAAGCTTTTCTAGAACTTCTATTATATACTAAGAATTACAAAGATGAAAGGCACAAACTCTCACCATTTTGTACTATTTTGTACTATTACAAACATTCATGAAGCTATAGGATTACTTAAACAGAACCTAGATGTCTAATAAAAGACAAGAGTTTTGTTTTGTTTTGTTTTGTTTGGGTCTGGTCGTGGGGCCTGAACTCTGGGCCTGGGTGCTGTCCCTCAGCTCTTCAGCTCAAGGCTAGCGCTCTACCACTTGAGCCACAGCGCCACTTCCGGCTTTTTTCTTTTTGCTTATGTGGTGCTGAGGAATCGAACCCAGGGCCTCAGGCATGCAAGGCAAGCGCTCTACCACTGAGCCATCTTCCCAGCCCAAGACAAGAGTTTTGTTGTTGTTTATTTTTTATGTCAGTACTGGGGCTTGTTCTCATGTTCTTGCTTGACATTTTTGCTTAAGGCTGGTGATCTGATTGAGAACGTTTCCACTTCTGACTTTTTGGAGATAAGAGTCTGACCGACTTTTCTACCCTGGCTGGCTTTGAACATTAGTCCTCAGATCTCAGCCTCTTGAGTAGCTAGGATTACAAGTGTAAGCCATGAATGCCTGGCTTAAAGACAGAATTTTGTAAATGAACAAGGGTGAAAAGGCATTCCAGGAATTCTGATCATAGGCAAAAGCACCAGGATACAAGACAATGATTTACTTACATGAGCTACAAGTGTGTGTGTGTGTGTGTGTGTGTGTGTGTGTGTGTGTGTGTGTGTGTGAAGATCAGACTCTACTCATGCTTGACAATCACTGAGTTATAACCCCAGCCCAGTACTTTCAGTTTTTTAATGTTGAAGGAAGAAGTATGGCAGTGATTAAGGTTGGACTTGGGACGAGCACCAATTCCTGACAGGACCTGACAGGACAAGACTTGAACAGCATTTTAAGGAATTTACAATTTATTGCACGGGTACAAGGGAATGGCAGACTTTGATTTGTTCTAGTTATGTTGGCAGGAATATTGTGGGTAGGTGGAAACTGAAATTCTGCAGGAGAAAGGTTTGAATCTTATGCAATCGCTGAGCAAAAATTGATGAGGGGTGAATGTGAACAGTAATAGCTCAGTTAGAATGAATGCACAGAAGAGACTAAAAAAAACGTGGTGGCAGAGTGGATATGGAGAGAAAAGGGAAGGAGGTAGACTTTGAGGTTTGGATAGATGAGCACTAAGAGAATGGACATAAAGGACTTAGAGGACATAGAAAATGGCATGTAAGTGGTGATTAAAACCATATAAATGAGAAGAGATGAAAAGCATAGGGTAATATGGAACACAAACATGTGAAGGTAGGAAGAGGGACATCTCAGGCCCTGAGTTCAAGCCCTAGTAATAGCATGCAGACACACACACACATACACGTGTGTGTGTGTGTGTGTGTGTGTGTGTGTGTGTGTGTGTGTGTGTGTATGGAATACATGCATGGAGGGTTATTTGTTTTTGTGAATTTTTATGTATCCTAGATACAAATCCTTAGGAATTTTTTTTACAAATATATTGTTTTAAGGAATGACTTGCCTTTTCTTCCACCACCACCTCCTCCTCCTCCTCCTCCTCCCCCTCCCCCTCGTCCCCTCCCCCTAGTCCCTTCCCCCTCCCCCCTCCCTCTCCTTGGCCTCTCCCTCCCCCTCCTCCCCCTCTCCCTCTTCCCCCTCCTCCTCCTCCTCCTCCTTGCCAGTTCTGGAGTTTTAATTCAGAGCCTGGGCATTGTCCTTGAGACTCTTTGTGCTCAAGGCCAGCACTCTACCACTTGAGCCACAGCGCCACTTGTGCCTTTTTCTATTGTAGTTTATTGGAGCTAAGAGTCTCAGGGACTTTCCTGCTGGGGCTGGTGTGAGCCACCAGCACCCGGCTTGCCTTTTCATTTTCTTTTTTTTTTTGGGGGGGGGTCCGGTCGTCGTGGGGCCTGAACTCTGGGCCTGGGCGCTGTCCCTCAGCTCTTCAGCTCAAGGCTAGCACTCTACCACTTGAGCCACAGCGCCACTTCCGGCTTTTTTCTTATGTGGTGCTAAGGAATCGAACCCAGGGCCTCGAGCATGCAAGGCAAGTGCTCTACCACTGAGCCACCTTCCCAGCCCCATGCCTTTTCATTTTCATGGCAGGTCTTTTAAAGAAAAATTCAATTTCAGTGTACCACCAGGCGCCAGCAGGTCATGCCTATAATCCTAACTACTTAGGTGGCTAAGATCTAAGGAAAGTGGTTCAAAACCAGCTCAGGCAGGAAAGCTTGTGAGACTTTTTTTCTTCTTCTTCTTTTTGGTCGATCGTGGGGCCTGAACTCTGGGCACTGTCCCTCAGCTCTTCAGCTCAAGGCAAGTGCTCTACTACTTGAGCCACAGTACCACTTCTGGTTTTCTGGTGGTTACTGGAGATAAGAGTTTCACGGACTTTCCTGCCCGGACTGGCTTTGAA